TTCTGTGTTCAAAGTAATATATATTTTTTTGTTTATAAGCATACGTTCTGTTGGTTGGGTTTGTGGAAGACCAACAGAAATTGTAGTTTGTCTATCCAAATCTGTAGAGGCCAAAGGTGTCTGCAGGGTCTACCTACTGGTTCTCTCATCTGTATTTCTCTGTGGGCCAGGCATGTCTGCATACATGTCTTCCTCTTGAAAACACTTCAGTAAGGAGAAGAGTGGATACCACCATTCCTAAATTCAGGTCTACCTTCGGGGACTTGTATGGGTTATATTACTTTGCATTTTTTACATTCCCAGATGACAAACAGCATAAAATCTAGGGATAGGAGAAACATGGTGAGATTGGATGGTGAGTTAAATCCTTGAACAACTTTAAAAGTATTTAAAACATTTTCAACAAAGGATAATGAACTGATTTGTGTCTTCTTGTAATGGAATCTAACACAGAGTCTAGGGGACAGTGGAGGGTTATGACTGTTCTGTATCTGTCAGCCATTTGTAACAAAAAGTTTATGTAGATGAATTATGCTTCTTGTTAGATCTGTTTTGTAAGAGGAAGAAGGACGTTTTAGACATATTTCAAAACTGAGTTGCTGATGAAGCCACAGATAGTTTTTCAAGAGTTCGGGGAAATCAGGCAGTGTCTCATCTGTTGCTAATTAATGAAATGAAACTGGGGTCACTAGAGTACAACAATGAATGAAAGGTCAGTGAATGGAAAAAACTGTCAATGAAGGAGGGTGTTAGTAGAGTGGAACATTGTCCTAGATAAAGATCAGGGAAAATGTACTCTTTGGCTGAGGTAGTGTTTTCTGGAAGTGAGTAGGAGCCATAGTTTGGGACATTTCAGTCCGGAGTGAGCACTAAATGAATGTTCTCATTTCAACGAAATCTTAAATATTTTAAGGCAATTCAGCTTTGTGCCAGAGATTAGTTGAAAAGATAGGTAAGAAAGAAGTTTCTTTTTGTTTTATAATGTGTCCTGCAGTGTGTCATTGCTGTTTTGTTTGGCTTTTTGGTTTTGTTTTGAGGTTAAAAAACTGGTTTCTTCCTCTCACTTATTTCTATTCTCTAGAATTTTCTAGAGCCACACTCACTTTTGAGATCCCCCTGAAGTGAAAGTGATGTGGGATCCGTAGTACAGATAAAACTGACCTCAAACAGGGAGGCTGCTGGCGCTGTTGATGATTGTTGCCAAATTGTATCCCCTCTGAGAGTTGCTTTGTGGAGGAGGCCTGAAAAGTGCTCAAGACAGCTTCAGCCTCACCACATCTTGCACACTGTGATCATGAACAAACCTGTGACTGTATTTATATATATATATTTTTTTCTGTATTTATATTTTAACTAGTTCATCTATCAGTGCTGTTACTGGTTTCATGTGAAATGAGTACATTTAGAGTCTCTTGTGTCTCTCTCGTCATGTCCACCCTTCGTCCCTTTTTTCTCCCTCAGTGAAGCATTTGAACTCTATGGCTTTGGGGAAGCAAGGCTCTGCCATCAGTTTGGGAGAAGTACGTGGCCATTTTTAGTCTGGTATTGAGACCTAGCAGGTCACTCGCAGCTAGTGAGGGCAAGACCCAGTAGAAATCAGCAAGGCTGCCCCTGCATCCTGAGAAGGAGTTAATCCTCTAGTATTTGGAGAAGTGATACAGCACAGTGATTGACAGTACAATCTCTAGGGAAGACTGCTGGCACGCATGTCCCAGTTCTGCCAATTACTATTCTATGTCTTTTTGAACCTTTATTTTCCTATCTGTAAAATGGGAATAATAAGAATAGCACTCACCTCCTACTCATAAAGATGGAATAAATATTTATAAAGTGCTTAGAGCAATGTTTTTCACTTAGTAAATGTTAGGTAATTCTTTGGCTACTTATATTAGTCGTATATCTGATTACTTATAAACGTAAAATGGAATTCAAGTGGAGTTTCCTTGGATTGTTTCTCTTTTCTCTGCGAATGTTTACTGGGAGATTGTTCTGTTGGATTTAAATGAGAGGCTATTAGATGAACTTTTTTGGAGTCAAGATAGGGGAAAAAAAAAAATAAACCTGAGAACAGTTCTTTGTAGAAACACCAGAACCACCAAAGTTAGTAGAAGCTAACATTTAAACTCGTACAATTAAATTACAGTCACAATAGTGCCTGTAGGTTATTCTGGTTGGGTAGGTATGAGATAGGCAAAGTATGGTGAGACCCTTTAACACTTAGTGTTAGAAGAAATACTTTGGGAGGGAATATAACTGTATTATGCAATTAGACTGAAAGGGAACAGAACACTAGTAGAACTAAAATAATAAATCCTGATCATCAGTGACACTCCTATACATATGCCATCATAGGCTGCCCCTTTCTAGGGATTGTTCTGCTCTCATGGGTGTAGGAATTCTGACAGACTCCATTTCAGGACTCGCAATGGTCCTAGTATATAGCGTTTCCTTAAGTGTGAGTTGTCCCTAGCTATTAGTAGATTTTAAAGGGGAAAATAGTAGATTTTAGAGGGCAGTCCATGGTCAAATAAATTTGGGAAACTTATTTGAGTTAAACTTGTTTTCTTGGATATACTTTTTGGAGCCTTTAATATTATGAGGCTTTAATATTGTGAGTATCCCAGGGAGAGGTGATACACAGTACTTCTCTTACTTTTTGAAACTGATACCTCGTCTGTCAACTTCCTGCTGGACCCCAGTGCTTCAGAGCACACTTTGGGAAATGTAACCTTAGAAGCATTGCTTTTTTCATTTTGTGTCTGGTGAATCCTAACAAGATGTAGCTAAACAGGGATGCCTGGGTGGCTCAGTGGTTGAGCATCTGCCTTCGGCTCAGGACATGGTCCTGGAGTCCTGGGATCTGGATCCTGGGATCGAGTCCCATGTCAGGCTCCCCACAGGGAGCCTGCTTCTCCCTCTGCCTATGTCTCTGCCTCTCTCTCTGTGTCTCTTATGAATAAATAAGATCTTTAAAAAAAAAAAAAGATGTAGCTAAACAACTGCAGATCAAGGGTGGAGGAATCCTCACAGGTGAGGCTGGGTCCTAATGTATCTGAACTCAGCCTATGCTCTTACTTTCTCTGCCCACACTATCGATCATAGGGCTTTTCTCTTTGTGGTTTGCTTGCTGTGTGCACATGCATGGGTAGTGGTGGTGGTATTCTTGGATGAGAGAATAGCATCAGAATATGAAATAACAGTCGGTTTTGTGTGCCTGGAGGTCAAGCTTGGAAATGGTGAGCAATGAAGCCATGAACCTGAACAAGGATGTGTCCTGAGGGCCACATCTGTCACATAAAGGAGTTCAGGGGTTCTGTAATGGAACCACCTGCTCTTTCCATCGGGTTATCTTAAGAACTTTAGTAAGCAGGCTGCTGACAAGTAAAAACAAACAGGGGGGATCCCTGGGTGGCGCAGCGGTTTGGCGCCTGCCTTTGGCCCAGGGCGCGATCCTGGAGACCCAGTATCGAATCCCACGTCGGGCTCCTGGTGCATGGAGCCTGCTTCTTCCTCTGCCTGTGTCTCTGCCTCTCTCTCTCTCTCTGTGACTATCGTAGATTTAAAAAAAAAACAAAAAACACTTAGGTAGGAGGCTAGGAATGCACACTTCAGCATTTTGCAGGTGACATAGTTGTCACCGACTTCCTGTCACCCTAACTTGCTGCATTGTGGAACATAAAATGAGCATAGATGGTAGACACAGCAGTCCAGATTAAACTTGAGTTGGAACTACTATAGGGGATTATAAGGGATGACACTCTCCCCTTCCAGCTCCCTGCACATCTGCAGTTTTTGAGGGCATGTTTTGTGTGCTTCTAGAAGCAGACTAAAGGCTAATAGAATGCAACTCAAGGATCATCCGGGCATAAATATTTAAAGAGATTTTAGTATCTTGTTTAAGGCTTGATTAAAGAGGTAGAAGTGGGGGTTGCCCTGTCTCCTAATAACATGTTAATTGTTTTTTAATTAAATAGTACTAAAAATATACAAGTATTTCCTGTGATCCAAATCTCTTTGCTTCCTGCTTTGAACTCAGCAAGTAGTGAGGGTTTGGCTAGCAGGAGATTTATCTGAAAATGTATCAGAATCTTTAGGGTTCTGGGTTTGGATTTGGATAGCAAGGAATATTTAGATGAGAAAACCTGGGGAAGACCTTACCCATTTTTTTCTTTTCCAGAGGAGGTGAGAGTGTACCTCCTGTGGCGGGATAGGTTTCTGTTCATTATGAAATGGCAAGATTGTGACTTAATGAAGGTAATAGAACAGATCATTGTAAGGACTGGACTAGGAAAAGTGGCATTCTTGTGGGTCTAGGAATCTTGCCACAAGGCCCTCACATACCCTGAGCAGTTAGGGTCTGTCACCACTTCTTCATCGTGTTCAGCAAACTGAACAGTGGAGCCTAGGGATCTGTAGTAATTATGGGAACCTTGATGAACTGTCAAGGAATCTCAAGGGCTTGATGGAGAATATTTGCAAGAGTAGGGTGTGTATATTTGTGATACCTTTGAAATAAAAACCTGCATAGTGGGAAGATTTAAAGTTAATGCTGGAAGGAATTTTTAACTTGATCAAGTTTATTTTGAAGAAATAACATCTGGCCTCAGTTCACGGGGTTTTTATATTCCCGTTTTGCTCCTGTGAATATTTGTTTTGGCTTGGTTATTTGCTACTTATTTTAAATCCTCTATAAGTTCCACAGAAAAGCATTCCTTTGGGGGATGGGGAGGAGGGAGGAAATGTAGGCTATGCGATGTCGGAGAGAGTGAGAATGAGAGGAGTCCTGAGATCGAGAGGGCTGGAGAAGGTGAGGCTTGGGGCCGTGCTGGATGCTGTACTTAGCGCTTGGCAGCCTTGGACAGGAATTGCACATGCAGTGGTGCCCGCTTGGCATCTGTGGGATTTGATTTTGCTTTTTAAACAGTTTTTTTTTTGAACAGTTCATGCAGGGCTGATTTTTATCTTTGTACATGGTGTAATTTTGTGATGTTTGTTCTCAGGTGGGTTTGCGGAGTTCTCCCGTTGTTTCCCTGGCCTCTGTGAAGGAAAATCTGCTCTAGTCCCTACCTGCATTTCTCAGCCTTGCCTACCTGTTGCCAACATTGGGCCAACCCGAATTCTTCCCAATCTTTATCTTGGCTGCCAGCGAGATGTCCTCAACAAGGTGGGTGCTTTGAAAACATCCTTCACTACAGGGTTTCTTGTTAGCATCTGGAGAAACTGCGATTGCCTGTTTGCTATCATTTCCAGCACACTCTGCTTTCAGAAGAGGAAGTATATACCACTCTCCGTGTGGCTCCCTGGGAGCAGTTAGTTGGGTTATCTCCTGGAGAGCTGTTTTGTTTGATGTTATTGAGTAGTGCCACAGGAAACCTGATCTGTTGTGACATTTGCTTGTTGGTTGAAGGTCCAGGAGACCCGGACATGGAGGGTTAGGACAGGACTTTCCAAAAGATTAGCCTTATTTTCTTAGAGTCTTAATTGTTCTATAGTAGTAAGTGGACACACTCAGGAAGGCTAAGATTTCCTAGATTTTTTTCACATTTAGAAATGTATTTACTGAGGTATACTAGAAAGGGACTCAGGTTGGGCTTGGGTTGCGGAAGGACCTCTGGCCAGAAGGAGGGGGTGGGAATAAGATGGTGAGGTCAAGGGCTAAGAGCAGGCATTGCAGGCTGCCCTGTCAGAGGCTTGCTGGAGCCGTTTTATTGATAAAGAAGAGGGAAGAGCATGGATTTTTGCTGAAAAGGACGTGGGCCATATTGAGCATGGTGTGCCTCACCTATGAACCTGCCCTGATTGAGGCCATTGTATCTCATGGTTACAAGCATAACAGTAGTAGAACTGAACTTTGTATCCCACCACAGCTCGTCTGCTCTTAACCAGGAGTGCTAGGAACCAGTGCTCTAACTGCCGAAGCGGAAGTTTTTAAAAATCGCAACAAAAACAAAACCCCAAAACAAAACAACCTCTTTTTTTTTTTAAATTTTAAAAATTTATTTATTCATGAGAGACAGACAGAGAGAGAGAGAGAGAGAGAGAGAGAGAGGCAGAGACCTAGGTGAAGGGAGAAGCGGCTCCACGCAGTGAGCCCGACATGTGGGACTCGATCTCGGGTCTCCAGGATCATGCACTGGGCTGAAGGCAGCGCTAAACTGCTGAGGCACCTGGGACTGCCCAAAACAACCTCTTTTTTATGCCACCTGTAATTGAAAAAGCAGTCAAAGATGTTAATTCACCTATTGGTGATTTACAGGTGCTGCTTTCCTGTATGGGGGATGATATCCCAACATTTTCTCCTTGGATAACTGTAAGAATTGGGCTGACCATAAAGCTAGCATCTTCACTGGCTTGTGTTAGCATGTGAAAAGCAAAAATACCATATCATTAGGCAGCAGTGAGGCAGTCTTTCATTTTCTCTGTTTTCAAGATTTTTAAAAAAACTTATTTATTTGAAAGAGAGTGCACAAGCAGGGGGAATGGCAGGCAGAGAGAGAAGCAGGCTCCCTGCTGAGCAAGAAGCTGGATGATGGACTCTATCCCAGCACCCTGGGATCACGACCTGAGCCAAAGACAGACGCTTAACCAACTGAGCCACCCAGGGATCCCTCTTTTTTGTTTTCTTTTTTTTGTTTGTTTTCTTTTTTGTTTTCAAAACTCCTGCCTCTGTAAAATTTTACCTTGACATCGTTATTAGTATGTCTGCTTTTACTGTGAGATATTTGAAATTTGATAGATTATACTTGTATTGAGCCTTTCTGGTGAGGTCACAGTCCCTATGAACATGTGATTATTATTAATTCTTTTAGAGATAAGCAAATTATATCACAGAAAGCAAAATTAATTTCTTAGACTCATGTACATCCCTGGGGCAAAGCTGAAGATGCTTTAGTTAATCCTCAGTCAGAAAGTAAAATTACTAGTTAAGGATCCTGTTCAGAATTACTTCCAGTTTAAAAGAAAAAAAAAAAAAAGTAACCGGTCTGCAGGTGGTTTTACAAATAATTGCATTATAGATCATTTTTGTTATTTTTGACATTTAACATTAAATGGCACATTAATTTTGCTATGTATTGTTTCCAGGTTTAACAAATGTCTCAGTTAATAATTCTGTGAGTGCCTGCTAGATGAGAGCAGTCGAACTGGACCATGGTGTGGAGAATGTGGGGAAAGGATGCTTTTTCTCCTTTAGTTGGCTTCTCAGTGTATACAGAAAAGGATGTGTACATAGATGCATTGGGTGGAGGTGGTTGTTGTGGGAGAAGTGGATTTATGGAAGTTCATGGGGAAAACAACCTGGGCAAGGAATTTCTATGGAAGACTGTCAGGAAACTTCTTTGAAACGCACGTGTAGATGAGAGGATGGTGAGAAGTCAGCATGCTTTCAAAGTGGTGAGTAGAAATTCATATACCAACAACTGATTCATTGTTGAGAAGAGTGGAAGTGCTGAACGGGATTTTAGTGATCATGTAGTCAGTCGTCTTTGATAAAGGAGGAAGCCGATATTCCAGAAATATTAGATGGATTCCACAACATCACCCAGCAAATGAGTTTTGGGACCAGATGTGCCTCTATTTCACAGATAGCTTAAACTGATCACACTGTTCAGCTGTCTGATTTAAACTTTACAGGAAAAGTTATATGCTGCTTCTCTTCCCAAAGATGATCTTTTATAATTTTTCTTAATAGTACATTCTTTTTTATTAGAATTTAGAAGCTGAAGTTTTTATTTTTTTTTAAATTTTTTTAAAGAATTTATTTATTTATTCATGAGAATACACAGAGAGGAGAGAGAGAAGCAGAGACACAGGCAGAGGGAGAAGCAGGCTCCATGCAGGGAGCCTGATGTGGGACTCGATCCCAGGTCTCCAGGATCACACCCTGGGCTGAAGGCAGCGCTAAACCGCTGAGCCACTGGGGCTGCCCAAAGCTGAAGTTTTTAAAAATAGCAACTAAAGACCATTAATTTTATTAGTTGTTTTTAATGAAGTGCCACCAAAATATTTTGAAAGCCTATCACAGAAATTTTCTTAGGAGGATCGTACTATTTACTATTTAAAATGCTAGGGTCTTTATATTATTTCATTTAACCTTTATAATAGGATTAAGAAGTAGGCTGACCCTGAATTGTTGTCACTTACCCAAGATTTTGTGTCTGGGAAGTCATGGATTCAAAACTGGTCAGTAACAGAAATCGTTCTCAGACTCAAGCTACTGTTCTGGCTTTACGTCCTATGTTTATATAACACCAGAAATACCCATCTTGCCCCTCCCTGTAACAGGCTGTTATGAAGGACTAACGTATCTTGACAGTTTATTGAATCACTGCAGAGACTTTTTAATTTCTTTTATTTTTTTTAAGATTTATTTATTTGTTCATGATAAACATAGAGAGAGAGAAAGGCAGAGACACAGGCAGAGGGAGAAGTAGGCTCCATGCAGGGAGCCTGACGCAGGACTCGATCCTGGGACTCCAGGATCACGCCCTGGGCCAAAGGCAGGCGCTAAACCGCTGAGCCACCCAGGGATCCCCGACTTTTTTTTAAAAGATTTTATTTATTTATTCATGAGAGACTCAGAGACACAGGCCAAGGGAGAAGCAGGCTCCCTGCAAGGAGCCCGATGTAGGACTTGATCCTGTAACTCCAGGATCACACCCTGAGCCAAAGGCAAACACCCAATAGCTGAGCCACTCAGGCATCCCACTTCAGAGACTTTCTTTCCCTGGTTTTCCTACAGCACATTCTATACCAGCTCTGACCACTTGAAGTGTAATGTAAGCCACATACTTAACTAAAAATGTTCAGTAGCCTTATTAAAAAAGTAAAATCAAACAGGTGAAATTAATTTTTTAAAATATTTATTTGAATGAGAGAGTGCACATGAGTGCAGAGGGGAGGGGCAGAGGAGAAGAGGAGAGAAACTCAAGCTGACTCCATGCTGAGCATGGGGCCCAGTGTGGGACGCCATCTAACTACCCTGAGATCATGACCTGAGCAGAAACCAAGGGTGGGTGCTTAACTGACTGTGCCACCTAGGTGCCCCAGTGAAATTAATTTTGATAATATTTTATTTATCACAGTATATCTAGAATATTAGCATTTCAATGTGTAGTGTAGGAAAACTATATATATATATATATATATTTATTAAGTCTTTAAAGTCTGGTGTATGTTATAATTACTACACACTTGAGTATGGACAAGCCACATTTCAGGTGCTCAGTATCCTCATATGGCTTGTGGCTACCATAGTGGATGGTGTAGGTCACTGCTTTCAATATGTATTAATTTTACTCTGGTTTTGAAGACGTGGCTGTTCTGTAAAAGATCGTAAGAAGTCATTGGTAACAAAAAGAATACTTTCGGTTTCTTTTTTTCTTCACAACTACTTTTGCTTCTCACAATCTGTTCTTTTATTCTCTAGTCTTTGTACAAGAGCTAGAACAGGAATGTCTTATAGTACTAAAAGTAGTTTTCTGAGGCCCAATTCACATCTGAACTGAGCAGGATTTGAGTAAGAATCTCCAGTTTCTCTGTGAAAGAGCAAAGTTCTTGATTGCTTTTCTGCTTGATCACTTAACATTTCTAGTAGAGACTTTTGTTTCACACAGAAATGCACAAAACATCTGATGGAATTACCTTTGGCTCAATGCTGTATCTGCAGTGATCGGCTTCAGCTTCTTCACTAAAGTGGTTCTGCTGCCCCCTCCCTCCCCCACCCCATTTATACAGTGTGCTGTCAGCATTCTTTGTGTTGCTCATTTCACGCTTCGAACATGCCAGATTGGTTTTCCTGTCTACCTGGTGGTTCTGCCTGCCCCTGGGATGACTATTTCTCTCTTGTTTTCTTACCAGAGTTATTAGCCTAGACACAGAATACTGCTTTCCCAGTTTCCCTATGTTCTAGGAAGACAAAAAGATAAAAAATTATCAGTAAAAATACACCACACAGTGTGCAAGCTGGTTAGACAACACCTGTTCATTCCACAATGATGCATAAGACAAGATGACTGACAGTAGAACTCAACACCAAGGCAGCATGGCATAATGGTGGGGAGCTGGCCTTGGAGGTAGGCATTTCTGCGTCCTAGGGCTCCACCTGGCCAGCCATACCACTTTAGCCAGGTCCCTGAGTCTTGGCTTCTTCACCTACAAATTGTAATGACTCCTGCCTTCTAGTGTTCATGTGAGGTTCAAATGAAGTGACGTATGCCAAGCACCAAGGACAGTTCCTGGTTCATGGGGACCCTGGTTAATGTTATCAAGGGTGGAGTACGCAGGGTGCTAGGGTGAGTGCTGGATACAGTGGGTGTGGTTGGTCGAGGAAGGCTGGATGGAGGAAGTAGAACTTAAGGTTGGTTTTGAAGGCAAAAGGAGTGGCAAATGCAAAATTATTTATTGAATTGATTTCAGAAAGAAAAATTACTATTCCATTATCTGGAATTGCAATGCCTGTGGTGATTAAATGTGGTATCTCTCCTCAGTCAAGCTGAACATGGGGAACTTGACCAAATAGAACATTTTTATTAAGGCTGTATTAAGGCTTTATTAAGGCTGTGATATAATAAATCTTGATTTATTATATCACTCTGTGTTCCATATACAACTCCACAGTCTGCATCAACAGATTATAGAATCCATACTTAGAAATCAGTCCAACTACAGGGCAAAGTTTATTTCCTGGTTTAGGAGAGAGAAACTTAAAGGGAAAAAAATTGTGAATGGAAATCCTAAGTAATAATAAAATAATAAAAGATTAATTTTTGACTAGGAAATGTCATTTTTGAAAGTCTTCTTAATTGTATATTGAAGCCAGAATCCATTTTTAAAAATTCTTAGGGGACAATCTCTTTTCCTTTGCAGATGAACCCTTTTTATATCCAGCCTGCTATATTCAATGTAATTGCCCTACTTAAGTCTAATTAGGAGAAAGGACAGTTTGAATTAGTGAAAAATGTACACAACATGGTATGAGGGGCAGCTTCTTGAGACAGAATTCATATGCTGTATGATATATAAGGTATTTTTTTATTGAGATGTAATTTTACAACATATTACAAAGTTTTAAGTATACAGCGTGATTTGATATTTGTGTATATTATAAAATGACCACAATAAGTCTAGTTAACATCTATCACCACACATAGTTATAATTTTTTTTTCTTGTGATGAGAACTTTTAAGATTACTCTCTTAGCAACTTTCAAATATACAATAGAGGAATATTAACTATAGCTGCCGTGCTGTACATTACATTCCCATGACTTATTTTATTACTAGAATTTGTCCCTTCTAACCACCTTCACCCATGTCCTCCATATATATCCTCTGTATCTATGAGTAGGTTAGATTCCTTTAGATTCCACATATGATATTTTATAGTAGTTGTCTTTCTTTGACTTACTTCACTTAGTATAATGTCCTCAAGGTTCATGCATGTTGTCACACATGGCAAGATCTCATTATTTTTTTTATGGCTGAGTAACACTGCATCGTATACATATACCACATCTTTATCCATTCATCAGTCAATGGCACACTTGGGTTGCTTCCATATCTTGCCTATTGTAAATAATGCTGCAGTGAACACGGGGGTGCAGAGATCTCTTCAAGTTAGTGTTTTTATTTCCTCTAGATATATACTCAGAAGTGGAATTGTTGGATCATATGGTGGTTTTATTTCTGATATTTTGTGGAACTTCCACTTTGTTTTCCATACTATCTGTACCAATTTATGTTGCCACAAGCTATTCTTAATATAAGATAAAGTAAGGGAACTAAAATTTAATGAGACTCTTATATGCCAGTTATTTTATCCTCACACAGCTTTACAAAATATACATCATTAGCCTTATCTTACAGATGAGGAAACTATAGCTGAGCGAGGTAAGGTAACCTATCCAAGATCATGCAGGTAATGAACGGTGACGTGCTAGGTTGTGCTTTAGTTTCTCTGAGGCCAGTACCCATATACTTTTAATTGTTCCTGCCATACTGAGTTCATCCATGCAACAGGAGAAAAGATAGAGCATACGGGTACATGTGCTGCTAGAAAGGTAAATGAAGTTAGTGGAAATTTATAAAAATTTGCTTCTGATTGTTTCACATTTTTCAGTGTCATAGGAAAAGTTGATCCATTGCCTGAGTGGTAAGCTAAAGGGATACACAGAGCATTTGAAGAAAAAGGGAAATGGGTGAAATGGCATCTGGGAGAGAGGGAAAGTGCAGGGGCTAGGGAAATAAAATGATTGCTGAGGACCATGAATTGGAGGTGAGATTGAGCGGCATTGTTGAGCGTTTTTCTCTGGCTGTATCCAGCTACATGGGTACAGATGCAGACCAGGTGGAGAACTAGATTTACACAGGGCTGCAGTCTTAATGAGTGAATGTGAAGAAGCTATAGTGGGACAAAGGAGTTGAGGGTGGAAGCAAGGGAGTGGTTTATAATGACTGACCACGGAATTTCACTCGAGCAAAGCAGGCAGATGGATATCATGAGGAAAGGACAGAGAAAAGGACGTGGGATCAGCAGCATGTAGATCCTGGGGAATCAAAGGGTCCCAAGAGTGGTGGTATAAGAGGCAGCAAAACCAGAAGGAGAGAAGGAAACATCCCAGAGTGGGGTGTGTGAGCTCGAGATTAGGGCAGGGTGGTGGTTGGTAATGACTGAGACCAGACCGGGCCTCATTAGTGAGTCGTCAAGGTGAGAAGTTCAAATAACTGAGAGGCCAGTGTGTCAAAAGGATATTTGAAGGCCAGGGAAGATTATTTTGTCAGTAGAAAGCACCTGTTAGCAAACTTAGCACAAAGTTGAGCTAAATATTAAACGGCATAACGAGTGCCCTCTGAAAGGTTACAGACTGTGATGTTTAATTATGGGATAGAGTAATACTCAATTGTGTATGTTTTGCACAACATACTAAAACAGAACTGAACAGATTCCATAAATACCTCTTTATAACATAGTAAGAAGTCCTTGACAGTCATCTGTGAATAAAAGCTATTATTATTCTGTAGAACAGACCCATTCTTCATAATTACATAGTTCCATTCCAGTTCCACTGTCAGAAACATTGACATACGATATCCGCTCAGCCACTTATATGTACCTTTGTAAAAATAATCAGGATAGCAAGTTAATAATATGTATAACTTCATGAAACCTCACATCTCAGAGATTCACCAGCACCTCAACCCTGAGGCCCAGCAGGTGCTGCTGGCCTGTGGCTAGCAGGAGGCACTTCGCTAAGGCCTGTTTGTTTCTACCATTGGGGCAGTGTGCTTACCAGCATGCTTACTATGTTTGTTCTCAAACCTGTTTAGGCTAGTTTACTTATTATAATCGTGCACATTGATTAAAATATTACATACACCCATGAATTATGAATGAGGGAAGGAAGAGAGTTGTTTTTCTATGACCTAAATTAAATGCTTTGGAAGATTCAGGAAAAACAAATTGCTTTGCGTTTTTTTGTTTGTTTTTTTGTTTGTTTTTTTTTTTCTGTTTAAACTAGGGCAGGCAGTAAGGCAACTATAAAATACCTGGGGGACGATCATAATTCAGGATTCTTTACGGATGTTTTACAAGTTTTTGCTCTTCTTTAAAGAAATGGAAACTGAATAGTAAATGTGTTTAGTTGTGATTTCCTTAAGAACTCTAGCTAAAAAAAAAAGAAGGTAAGTAGTCAGCTAACCCCTACAAAAAAAAAAAAAAAAAAGCCATGGTCCTGCATTAGAAATTAGTGAATTGTTTTATTTATTTGTTTTCAATTAAACTTTTTTTTTTGCCAACCTAATGGTTGCTCCTTTTTTTTTTTTTTTAATTTGTATTTATTTTATGATAGTCACACAGAGAGAGAGAGAGACAGAAAGAGGCAGAGACACAGGCAGAGGGAGAAGCAGGCTCCATGCACCGGGAGCCCGATGTGGGATTCGATCCGGGGTCTCCAGGATCGCGCCCTGGGCCAAAGGCAGGTGCCAAACCGCTGCGCCACCCAGGGATCCCTGGTTTTTTTTTTTTTTTTTTTTTTTTTTTTTTTTTTTATGATAGTCACACACACACACACACAGAGAGGCAGAGACATAGGCAGAGGGAGAAGCAAGCTCCATGCACCGGGAGCCCGATGTGGGATTCGATCCTGGGTCTCCGGGATCACGCCCTGGGCCAAAGGCAGGCGCCAAGCCGCTGCGCCACCCAGGGATCCCTTGTTTTCAATTAAAATAAGATATTTCAGGGGCACCTGGGTGGCTCAGTGGTTGAGGGTCTGCTTTTGGCTCTGGTGATGATCCCAGGGTTCTGGGATCAAGTCCCATATTGGGCTCCCTGCAGGAAGCCTGCTTCTCCCTCTGCCTGTGTCTCTGCTTCACTCTGTGTCTCTCATGAATAAATAAATAAAATCTTAAAAATAAAATATTTCAAGTGTATATATATCATTTTTAATGATTTCCTCCTTTTAACTGATTTTTCCACTGATGTAGTAACTGCCAATCCACATTATGTATCATGTTTAATAGCAAAATTGTATGTAAATTTTACATAACATTTTAGGACTCTGTTTGCTTTTTTGCTTTTAAAATTGGCCATGTTCTTAAAAAAATGGCCATATTTTATTTATCAGTTCCTATCTTATTACAAAAAGAATTTCAGGGAATATGTAATAATTGACTTAATAAGTAGATTTTTTTGCAATAAAATTTTTATACATAAAGCTGTATTTATGATCGAGATCATGTCCTTTTTCTCTCATTTCATTTTGTGTTTAAATTATTTTACCATCGGGCAGCCCGGGTGGCTTAGTGGTTTGGTGGCACCTTCGGCCCAGGGCCTGATCTTAGAGACTGGGGATCAAGTCCCACATCGGGCTCCCTGCGCGGAGCCTGCTTCTCCCTCTCCCTCTGCCTCTGCCTCTCTCTCTCTCTCTTTCTCTCTCATGAATAAATAAATAAAATCTTTTAAATAAGTAAATAAATAAATTAATTAATTAAATTAACCATCACCCAGTTTTAATACATTAATGTCTTTTTTCCCCTTCTTCTTTTGCCCATTGTTTAAAATAAACTACTGGGGCATCTGGTTGGCTCAGTTAGAAAAGGATGTGACTCTTGATCTGATCTCAGGGTCATGAGTTTGAGCCCCATGTTGGATGCAGAGATTACACCTCCCCAATAAAAAAAAACCTTTAAAAAAAACAAAGCAACTACTTAAATGCATCTTCTATGGTACATTGTTTTATAAGTGAAAAATAGTTTTTTTTTGAGCTATTAACAGCATCGTAAGCCGGATATTGAAGGGCTTCCTTTCATGTGTCGGATTTGTCCAGCATGATGGCATTGCTGCAGTTTGGTGTGTGGCAACAGTGAGCTCACCAGCAGGCACTGTGCATGTAGACAGCCAATCCTCAGCATGCAGCAGGAGACACCAGTGTCAGCATGGCAGGGAGGCCAGCACTGTAAATGCCTGTGGCTGCATTTACAGTAAGGGAAAACAGAGGATGACATAAACACCTTAAGTACATCTCCTCAAAGGTGTCCTGAGTCCCTCTTAGAGTCTGTCTCCTCACAGAAACTCAGGGCCAGAGTGGTGCCCCTTTCCTTCCTCATTTATTGGTGATCATTAAAAAGAGCATAAAGAATGAAATTAAACTTTATATTCTAATACTTCATTTAGTTAAAGAGATTATGTGTATGTAGGCTAGTTACCTTGTTGCTCCATCTAACTTGGTTTAAATGGAACTTCAATTAGAGCATGGCAACTCAGGACAGATTCTGGAGACGAATGTACTTGGATTTGAATCTTGACTCTCTACCACTTTCTTGCTGTGTGACTTTGCAAACATTATGTAATCTCACCAAACGTCAGTTTTTTTTTTTAATTTTTAATTTTTTTATTTTTTAAATTTTTATTTACTTATGATAGTTAGAGAGAGAGAGAGAGAGAGGCAGAGACACAGGCAGAGGGAGAAGCAGGCTCCATGCACCGGGAGCCCGATGTGGGATTCGATCCCGGGTCTCCAGGATCGCGCCCTGGGCCAAAGACAGGCGCCAAACTGCTGCGCCACCCAGGGATCCCCGTCAGTTTTTTAAAAATGAGGATAATAATAGTATTCGTGTCAGAGGGTGGTTGTGAGGATTAAATGAGACCTTCTATGTATTTATTGTTTTTAATTTTCATTCCAGTATAGTTAACATGCTACATTCTATTACTTTCAGATATACACTGTAGTGACTTAGCACTGGCATATATCACCCAGTGCTCATCGCGACAAGTGCCTTCCTTCATCCCTATCACCTGTTTCCTCCATCCCTCTACCCACCTCCCCTTTGGTAACCATCAATTTATTCTCTAGAGCTAAATGTCTGTTACTTGCTTTGTTTCTTTTTTCCCCCTTTTGCTTGTTTCTTAGATTCCACATAGAAGTTGAAATCTATGGTATTTGTCTTATTCTGACTTATGTTGCTTAACATTATATGCTAAGCTAGCTCCATCCATGTTGCAAATGGCAAGATTTCATTCTTTTTTATGCCCAAATAACATTCTATTGTACGTATATACCACATTTTCTTTTTCCTTTCATCTATCTATGGATACTTGGGCTGCTTCCATAATCTAGCCATTGTAAATAATGCTGCTATAAGCATAGGGGTGCATGTATGCCTTTGAATTATTATTCTTGTATGATTTGGGTAAATACCCAGTAGTGTGATTACTGGATCATAGGGTAGCTCTATTTTTAACTTTTTGAGGAACCTCTATACTGTTTGCCAGAGTGGTTGCCCCAGTTAGCATGTCTACCAACAGTGTAAGAGGGTTCCTTTTTCTCCACATCCTCAAGAGATTACTTATTTATTTTTTAATGACTACGTTTGTGTTTATTAATGAGAGACACAGAGATGCAGAGACATAGGTAGAAGGAGAAGCAGGCTCCCTGGGGGGCCTGATGTGGGACTTGATCCCAGTACTCTGGGATCATGAACTAAGCCAAAGGCAGACGCTCAACCACTGAACCACCTAGGCATCCTAAGAGACCATATATTTAAATGTTCAGCACAATATTTAGAAATAGTAGGCACTCATTAACTGTTAGATATTATTCTTTTAGATATTATTTTATTAGTATGTACTATGTACCATAATATTATTAAGCCTCTAGCAAAGATACTCAACAAATATTTTTTGATTGAATTTAGGTCAGTGGCCATTTCTATAAATTGTAGGTTATGAGGCGACTTGTCAGAAGTATACATTGTTATATTCTTCCTGTGGGGAAATTAAATTTGACAGTCATTACAGACTTATAACATGTTTTGTCCTTAGAACTGCCTGTTCTCTTCTGAAACTTCAAGGTCTTCGTTACTGAATTGAATAGAAAGCAACATTACTACTTGCCTTTACCTTTAATGTGATAAATCCGTGTAGTCCTGTTGGTAGATAGGAGAAAGACGTGTAAAATGGTTCCTTTAAGGACCATTGGCAAGAAAGGCGTGAAAGCCTCAACTCCAGTGACCTGCTGCTGTGTTACATGGGCAATTCTGCGATTGATCAAATGGTAGTAATCTCAGCATGGAAAAACAAATGTGACCTTTGCTACATGCACAAAAGTTTAAAAGTCATAGTAAACACCATTAAGATCTTCACAGTCTGATTGTTAACCTAACAGAAGTACACAAGAGCATCAGGAGACCAGGGCTCTGGCCTGGCAGAAGGTCATAGTAAACTGCCATGGTTTTATTTTGTATATTTCCACTTTCTCAGTTAATGAAGATACAGAGTTGGTTATAATATTAATGATGTGTGATCTTCAAGCATAGTCTTTTATTAAAGATTTATTTATTTGAGAGCGAGAGGGAGTGCATGTGCGTGCGTACAAGAGTTGGAGAAGGGCAGGGGGAGATAATCGTGAGGCAGACCCCCTGCTGAGCGGGGAGCCTGCCATGGGGCTCAGTCTCATGGACCTGAGATCATGACTGCAGGCAAAACCAAGAGTTCAGTGCTCCACCTACTGAGCCACCCAGATGTCCTCAAGCATACTATTTTCAACAGCCCTTTTTTTCCCCCTTAAAAACAATTCTGCTTTAAAGTCTCTAAATGTCACTGTGCTAGGTATTTGGATTTCAACGACCGAATTAACTCCGATTTCAAGGAAACTAGTAATTCTTACCATTAAACTTTACTTTTCCAAAATGATTGTGCTGATATGTTAGTCACCCTAATTGTCCTTTCCCTCCACAGGAGCTGATGCAACAGAATGGGATTGGTTATGTGTTAAATGCCAGCAATACCTGTCCTAAGCCCGATTTTATCCCCGAATCTCATTTCCTGCGAGTGCCTGTGAATGATAGCTTTTGTGAGAAAATTTTGCCGTGGTTGGACAAATCAGTAGATTTCATTGGTAAGTAGCTCCCTCTGGGTCATAGTCCCCTGTACAGGTGTACCCCTCCTCCCCTCCCATTTTTTCTCTTTAGAGAAAAGGAGCCTGTTCAGAGGTTTCAGAAGTCTGAGAGCAACACAAGATGCTGCTTATCTCATTGAGTGGCCAAGGTGACGTGTGTGTACCATGCTGTCCCCAAAGGACTGGCCTTGTGACATTCTAGCTCACTTAACACTACCAAGGTTAAACCTGATGGGATCTGTGATAATATATTTCCAAGTGTTTGAAAATCAGTTGAATTTCTGGGATTAAACTTTAGCCTTTTGTTCAGATCCTATAAAAAACTTTTGGAAACTTTGGTGGCATTCCTGAAACTTTTTTTTACCTTGCTGCTGTGTTCTCCCCAGAGAAAAGTTAAATCCTGTGAAAACAAATCCCATTACATTTGAAATCTTTATGTCACGAGATTTGTAAGCCTCAGTCCACGTGCCAGTAATTTCAAGTAGTATGGGATCTCATAAAATTCCAGCGCGTGCGCGCAGCGCACGCACACACACACACACACACACACACACACACTCACTTCCTCAGGATTGGATGGTTGTGACAGGCTCTGATCTGCCCCACGTGGTGCTCTGCCTGCTGGGCCTGTCAGTCCTAGAGTCTCCTGACTCCCAGCTTTGGGTGCTTTGTGCCACTCTGGTGCCTCAGGATCAGGTCTGCTGTGAGAAGTTGGTGATGTGTATTTGAAGCCTAGTTTCAGTGGAGAGTAGCTGGACAGGGGAGGTTTGCTATTCACCCTTGAGCAGCAGTATGAGGTTCACTCTTGATGATCCATGTGAGAAGTTTTTGATGTTTTCTTCCTCTAATCACATAAGCTTGAGCATTAAATCCATAACTAAATACTCCAAATTTGTTACTGTGATTTAAAAAATAACTAGTTTCAGGCAGCCCGGGTGGCTCAGGGGTTTAGAACCGCCTTCAGCCCAGGGCCTGATCCTGGAGACCTGGGATCAAGTCCCATGTCGGGCTCCCTGCATGGAGCCTGCTTCTCCCTCTGCCTGTGTCTCTGCCTCTCTTTCTCTCTCTCTGTGTATCTCATAAATAAATAAATAAAATCTTTAAAAAAATAAAAATTAAAAAAAATAACTAGTTCCTTTTAAGTTGTGAAATTATGTACGTTAAGCCCCTTTCATCTGTGAGAGAAATTTCTAGATGATACTTTTGGGACTTTGAGTAATTCCAAAACATTTTTGTTTTTCCTTCAAGATTCCAGATTTCCAGAAGTTTTCATCTTTAATTAGGATGTGTTCTTTGAAATGTCAGAATATAAATGGCTTAAATAATTCACATGATAATATTCACAAAATTCCCAGATTAGTCACCCCCACTGTTGTATTTCTAGGAAGCATTCAGTATCTCATTCAGTTTTTGCCTCTTTAAAAGATAACACTTAAGGTTAATGTTCCTATTGCGTGTCAAGTCATTCCAAAGATATTTGACTCTAATTTCAGCTAAAAGTGCAATTTCAGGATCTATTCAGAAGGGAGCTCATCACAATGTCTGTTAGGGGGCGTATAGAAAAGAGAATATGAATAACTTTGCCCCGCTCACTTTGTTCTTTCATGGGAGATATTGGGGTCATCCTGCCACTTAATTCAGACAGAAGGAATTTATTACCATGTTCCCCAATTCGGTTAAGCACATCCAAATACTTACTGTAATTTATTTGTAGTATCTGAAAATATTTATTATACTATTTAGTATGAGCCAAGTATTTCACTTGCTCAGCCCTACTTACTAGGGGTCACTGTCCTTCCCACCCCTCCAACCCCCAGGTAATTAAGGGCGAACCCTCCTGCTGCTACTTGGAGCCCAGTGCACGCTCACTGCCTTGGTTGGTCACAGCCTAGTGCGCAGTGTGAACACTACCCCCGTGCCAGGGCTTAATAACTTACAGGCTTGTGGGGGTTGTTTCTTTTTACTATTTAGATAAATTTCAGTAAGTTTCTGGGTTTGTTGGAAGGACCACAGTTTTCATGGAGTTTTGTCTTTATTTTTCGTTGAGCTCAGGTTGCCTGCTTGCTGTGGGCCACTCTCAAGGGTCTGGTCCCAGCTGGCTGCTTCTGCGGGCACTCGCCCTCCTCACCGTACCCTGGGCTCCTGCCCCGCCTCTTGAATTGTCGTGTAAGCCCTACAGGGAGGTAATCAAGGGCATGTGCTTTGGAGCCAGACTGTATTTGAGTCTTGCCTTCCCTTGGTTACTAGTTAAGTGATTTGGGGTAAGTTTCTCAGTTTCCTAAAGTGGAAACTGAAGATAATGTATCTACCTGGAAGGGATGTTGTGAGGATTAAAATAGATCGTGGATGTAGGCTACCCTGCAAAGTGCCTAACTCCCAACTGGCTCATACTAAATAGTAGCAATTTTACATATTATCATCTGAGAAGTTCTTTGGGTTTCATTCTTAGAGCTGTACTCTGTAAGCTCAATTATTGCTGCTTCATTTTTAGCCTTTATAACTTCTCATCCTCACTGCCCCCCCTTACCCTTTTCATTTGTTATCCTCTGCCCTGTTTTGACCTATATTTCTATTCCTGAACTGCTGCAGTGGCAGCCTGCTTTTCCTCTTTCCAGTTGTCACTGTCGGTGCTTTTGCTGGCCCCTGTTCAGGAACCTGCAGCCCTTAGCCTGACATTCCCAGAACCTCCAGCACCTGCTTCACCTTTGAAACCTTCTTTCTAGTAACCTCCCTGCCCCATGAAGCGTGTGCTGCAGTCATGGTGGACTGGGTATGAGGAACCCGTTCAGCCCCACTGTGCGGCCACCTCCCTTCTCCCTGCCAGCTCTGCGTGTATGGAACTTCCTTTGCTTTAAGACAGTTTCACACTCATTTCTGCCAAGAAACATGTTCTGATGACCCCCAATCCATGTAATCACTTTTAAGTCAGATTTAAAAAAAAATATTTATTTGAGGGAGGGAGGAAAGAGAAAGAGGGAAAAGAGAGAGCAAGCACACACGTGAGCACCAGGGGGTGGGAGGGTTGGGGGTGGGGTGAGAATCCCAAGCAGAGGAGAGAATCCCCTCCAATCTCTGAGCCTGATGTGGGGCTCTATCCCCTAATTCTGAGATTTACCTAAGCTGAAATCAAGAGTTGGATGCTTAACTGACTGAGCCACCCAGGTACACCTCAGTCAGATTTCTAAAACATCCTCAAAAGTGTCATGATTATAAAAGCAATGTAAGTACAATGCAGAATATTTGAAAAACAGAGAAAGGGAAACCTATAATCTCAATATTCTAACACAATCCGTTATTGTCATTGTTTTATCTCCTTCTAACCTTCCTCCTTTTCACTTTTTTTTTTTTTAATAAAGATTGCTTTTTTAAGGTATGTATTAGCCAGACACTATTTACTGGGTGCATAATGTGTCCAGTGTGAAGCCCTCTGAGGTAATTAGAAGCAAGATTCTTCTAGGTCTCTGTAGTCTTGATATAACTATTTGAAAGTTTGAGGGTGGTTCAGTCATTCAGTGACGGTCTCAGGCTCATGACATTGAGCCCCAAGGCAAGCTCTGTGCTGTGCGCGTCATACAGCTTGGGTGTGCTTGAGATTCTCTCTCCCCTCTCCCAATGTCCCACCCCTCACACATCCTCTCCCTTAAGCCCCCCCCACTTGAGTGCACACACACTCTAAATAAATAAAAAAATAAAATAAAATAAAAAATTGAAACCCAGCCTGCTTCCAATAAGATTTTGAAGGAGCTTACAGTATGAGACTAGGATCAGAAGATAACACACAGTCACACACATAAATGTTAAAACAGGATCAGAGGGCAAGAACCAAGTAATATGGGACTAGGAAAGGTACAGTAAAATCTGAACTAGTTACCTGTTGGCATTGAGTGAAAGTCTCAGCTTTGAGCTTCTTAGCAGCCTAGGCAAAAGAGGAAATATAGTAAGATTAGTATAAGAATTTTAACATAAGATTTGGTAAACTTGATGGCATCAGTGAAAGCGAAAGCAAAAAGGGAATAGGTCAGCTCCATGGCAGCAGTTTGTGGCTAAGCACACACGTAATTGTTTAGAATTGAGGCTTAAATGTTAGTAGCTGCCATGGGATAATTTCATTTACTCCTACAACTGGGCTTTTAAAGCCCCTCCGCAGTGAGAGATGGTAACACTGCTGGGTTGAATGTTCTTGATCCTAACTAAGTGTCCGAAAGTCCTACCACGTTATGCCGAATATACATGATGCAGTCAGTAACTCCTGGATATCCAGGGAAGGTTCAAGTTCCCTTGATCCTTGTTAAAGTGAGCTGCTAAACCTGATTCACAGCAAATACGTGGTTTTCTTCTTAAATTCAGCAAATAAAGGTGAGCCAGTTTATGACATACAGATAGGACACTATAGGAAAATAGGTTTTAAAGGTAGTTTGACCTGGCATCTTTTTGCATTGCAATGTGATATGGTGATGTAGTCTTTCTCCCTCCTTACTCTCCTGCTTTTTAAATTAGTAATGTATGTCACAGGTGTTTGAAATGAGAAGATATTTTTTAAAACTTTAACAATTCATATGTAGCAAATCATTATACTGTATACCTGAAATACAATGTAATAGGTCAGTTATATGTCAAAACTGAAAATTATCTCTTAAAACTGCAAAGTTTAGTATCTTTTACATAACTAGGATAAAACTGCAGTATCAGACAACATGGGCAAATAAAATATTAGCCAAATCTTAGGATTTGGGGTGTTATTTTCTTTATGCTTCTCTGTATTCCGAAATCTTCTAAGCTAAGCAAGTATAATCACGGGTGCCTGGGTGGCTCAGTGGTTGAGCCATCTGCCTTTGGCTCAGATCGTGATCCCAGGGTCCTGGGATCAAGTCCCACATGGGGTTCCCCACAGGGAGCCTGCTTCTCAACTCTGCCTGTGTCCTGCTTCCCTCTCTCATGAATACATAAAATTAAAAAAAAAAAACAACAACACAAAAAAACAAGTAGAATCATGTCATTACAATGTAGGATTTATACTCAGGGGAAGTTATTAAGAAAACAGTGTAAAAAAACCAGAAATGTCCTGAGTAAGAGATGATTTTGAGTTAGGGACTGATGGCCTACCTACACGTTTGGACCTTCATTATCCTGTACGTAAATGGTGGGGAAGTGATCTTCCCTCACCTCCCTAAGAAACTGTCAAAAGGAACGATATGTGAGGAGATGAGATTTACTCAATTATCAGATAAAAAGGTATGTGGCAACAAGATCTCAAGATTGAACACAGTCGTCCTCAGTGACCCTTGTTGAATTTGACTCCTGCAGAGAAAGCCAAGGCTTCCAACGGCCGTGTGCTGGTGCACTGCTTAGCAGGCATCTCTCGCTCAGCCACCATCGCCATCGCCTACATCATGAAGAGGATGGACATGTCCTTAGATGAAGCTTACAGGTGAGAGCTGGACTGTGTCTTGTGTGCGGGCTTTTCATCTGACCTGAAGCATGGAGGGAGATGGGGGTGGGTAACCAAATTCAAGCAGATCGGGCCTATTTTAGTTACATGCTTTACAGGTGGCTGGATTTTTAAATGGTTTTTCAAAGACTAGAGAAGAATGCACTTTTACAAGTGAGCATGAATTCCCTTCGAACATGTCAGATTCATCCTCAGCTACTTTTTAACTTTCAGGAACAACAAATCTAAGCAGTTGTCCATCCTGTCAAGTGAGTCTATACCTTTTCCTAATAGGGAAAGTACACATGAAGAAGCTGTAGCAGAATACCCATCGCGGAATTCATCCTTCTGCTTCAAACTCTGTGCCTCTGTCCCTGTGAGGGAGAGGCCGAGGTATAAGACCCAGTAGTTGTCAGAATCCGGTCACTGAGGAAAGTTGCCTCCGTTCTAGAGTTGCCCGGATTCTGCGTGGTGACTGGATCTCCCTCCGCAGCCCAGGGCAGAGGGGAGGGCAGGCAGGCGACAGGAGTGTGTCTCTATGAATAAATAAGTAAATAAAATCTTAAAAAAAAATAAATAAAAAAGGAAAATCTGGAAGAAGAAATGAGCTACCTGAGCAGCTTCTCATCTAAGGAATGAGCCTGGAGGAGCAGGGTCCTGCCTTTGCTTCAGTTCCCTCGTCCTCCACTCAGGCTTTTCTTCCTCTGGGCTTCTGGTACCACATAGAAACCAGGAGAAAAGGCACTCTTAGGTCACGTTACAAGGTCTTATGAGGACTCTGCCTTTATACTTGTTTCTGGCTTTGTTCACTTGCTTTAGGTGACTTGATTTCCAAGGAGTTTGTCATTTTTCTATTTCCATATTCAAATACGAATCTTCAGTGTAGTTTCACTCCTGCATCTTGTACGGAGTGAAGGTCAGAAGCCACTGAAGAATTTGTTTACTGTCTCTAAGAGTCTGTGTTTGCACAATTAAACATAAGAGCTGTTTAGTACTGGTTTTTACTCCTCAATGATTCTTTTTTAACACAGTGGTTACAAAAATGGACCTAGACATGAGGCTTGGCTTTCAGTGACTTCGGGCACGTCACATAAGGACTTTGTGTCCTTGTGTGATGGGGTTAATACAGCAACTTGACATGGGGAGTTTTGGGGACTGAATGAGACAATACTGTGGCTAATGCATTAGCCCAGTGCTTAGCACACACAGGCCACTGAGAGCTGGTTGTTCTTTCCTGTTGAATACTAAGAGAAGGAGCTCAGGTGTGTGCTTGGTGCTCTGGCCATCTGCTATCCACTTTTTTGGTCGTTAATTAATACATGAAATGTGCTGAGGAAGTGACTGGGGGGAGTTAGAAGATGTGATACTGGGAAACTGAAGCTAGAGAGTGACCGTTCCCCTGGACTCCCAGCGGTGGCACCAGCATGGGGGTGCGGGGGCTAGGCCCCAGCAGTGAGGACAGAACCCTCGCTTGTCAGTTGCATTGGAAACTTTGGGTCCTTGAAAATAAGAAGGCTAAAACTAGAGCTTTTAGGGCCTGGGCCCTGTCTTTCTAGCATTCTCCAGGGACATGTTGTATGTCTCCCTAAACTTTCAAACCAGTCCTCTTCCATAGGTGTTTGGGAGGCTCTAATCTGTCATATTTGTTCACTTAATATATTTTATTTTCATACTGTTCTTAAGATAAATTGTAGTTGCAAAATTCAGGATTTCTGTTTCTTTCCTCTCTTCATAGATTTGTGAAAGAAAAAAGACCTACCATATCTCCAAACTTCAATTTTCTGGGCCAACTCCTAGACTATGAGAAGAAGATTAAGAACCAGACTGGCACATCAGGGCCAAAGAGCAAACTCAAGCTGCTGCACCTGGAGAAGCCAAATGACCCTGTCCCTGCGGTCTCCGAGGGTGGACAGAAGGGCGAGATGTGCCTCGGTCCACCCTGTGCCAACTCTGCTACCTCAGAGGCGGCAGGCCAAAGGCCCGTGCATGCTGCCGGCACACCCAGCACACAGCCCCCGCTGTTGGAGGACAGCTCTCTGGTCCAGGCACTCAGTGGGCTCCACCTGCCCTCAGGCAAGCTGGAAGACAGCAGTAAGCTCAAGCGCTCCTTCTCTCTGGACATCAAATCTGTTTCATACTCGGCCAGTGTGGCGGCGTCCTTGCATGGCTTCTCCTCATCAGAAGATGCGCTTGAATACTACAAACCTTCCACGACTCTGGAGGGGACCAACAAGCTCTGTCAGTTCTCTCCCGTTGAGGAAGTATCAGAGCAGACCCCAGAAACCAGCCCAGATAAGGAGGAGGCCAACGTCCCCAAGAAGCCTCAGCCTGTCAGGCCCTCTGATAGCCAGAGCAAGCGATTACATGCAGTGAGAACCAGTAGTGGCAGTGCCGGCCCACGGTCCCTCATCTCCCCCCTGCACCGGAGTGGGAGCGTAGAGGACAACTGCCATACCAACTTCCTTTTTGGCCTCTCCACCAGCCAGCAGCACCTCGCCAAGTCTGCTGCTGGGCTGGGCCTCAAGGGCTGGCATTCGGATATCTTGGCTCCGCAGACCTCCACTCCTTCCCTGACCAATAGCTGGTATTTTGCCACAGAGTCCTCTCACTTCTACTCTGCCTCGGCCGTCTACGGAGGCAGTGCCAGTTACTCTGCCTACAGCTGTAGCCAGCTGCCCACCTGTAGCGACCAGGTCTACTCTGTGCGCAGGCGGCAGAAGCCAAGTGACAGAGCCGACTCGCGGCGGAGCTGGCATGAAGAGAGCCCCTTTGAAAAGCAGTTTAAACGCCGAAGCTGCCAGATGGAATTTGGAGAGGGCATCATGTCGGAGAACAGGTCTCGGGAAGAACTGGGGAAGGTGGGCAGCCAGTCTAGCTTTTCAGGCAGCATGGAAATCATTGAGGTCTCCTGAGAAGAGACACGCTTATGACTTCTGTTGACAATGTTTTTCTTGTTCACAAAAAAAAAAAAATATTCCCTGTAAATCTGAAATATATATATATGTACATACATATATATTTTTGGAGAATGGAGCTATGGTGTAAAAGCAAAAAGATGGATCAACACAGTTCTCTCAACATCTGTACTTGAGAGATCAGCTAATATTTCTCTCAACAAAAGTGGAAGGGCAGATTGCTAGATATCCTGCTAGACAGATGAAAAATTGTATGTGGTGAATTGCACATCCTCTTGTTCTTACCAAATCTGGTTTTATTTGGTGTTGGAGGACAAAATGCCCCACAGTTTCCATGTTGTGCTACAAGAGGTCTTGAGTGCTAGTCTGTCCGGCCCCTTCCGTGGTGCACCTTAGTGCTGAGACTGAGCCAACTCGTGGGTTGGGCGGGGAGACCCCATTAGGCACACAGCCTTGTGGTAAACGCAAGGGAAACGACCACACCCAAAACGGATTCACACATTCGAGCTCAGCTGGCCGCCGAGTGATGCGGGCCCTATCTGCTGCGCGGACCGTCAGGGGCCTTGCCCAGGCCTACTTTAGAGCAAACCCAGTACCTCAGACCAAAAGTCGGGGCTTCTACCACTACCAAGTCTGGTAGCCTTTCTTCTAGGTGTTGTGAATAGGTAGGTAGCTAGTCACACTTTTCAGACCAGTTCACACCGTCTCTGCACAAATTCCCAGTTGGGCCTGGATGGAGGTAGTTAAGTTTTTCTTCTTCTCAGCTTGATGAAGAGGGCAAACCATCTAGGATTCAATTCAACAGCCAGTGATGTGTAGCGTAGGTCGGGAGGCTAACCAAGTCTACCTCCCTCCGCGTAAATCAAAGAATTGTTCAAAATGGGGTGGTTAATCCTTTAAATAAAGATTTACTTGGTTTAAGCCAGATGTGAATTTATTCGGGTTGGTAGCAGAACAGCACCATCAAGTTCTCAGCCAAAGTCGATTTTTCCCATTTCGGTTTCCTTGCACAGATACATTTTGTAAAAACCTAACAGGTAGACTTTTATAGGAAACTACCAAGAGGGAGAAAAACTCTGGAAAGATTAAAGAAGTAAAATTGCTAAGGAGAAAAGGAAACTCCTTTTTCTCCATGGTTTTATTCCCCTGAGCATGTGATGAAGGGGGGTGGGGGGGGGAGTTCTGTAATTTCCTTAGACTTTCCAATTTACTAACAGGGCTGAGAGGCTAGTTACATGAGGAGTGTTCAGAATAAGAATGTTCAGAATAAAACTGGAGGAAGGTGAGGGGAAGGTGGTTAGGTTTTGTTTCGTTGTGAGCAGAGTGGGAAGCCACAGCCAAGCTGTTCTCAGAAACACTCCTTGGCATTTTTTTAGTAGAAGGGACACAGCAAAATGGGGCGGGACCAAGCTGGTCTCTCGTTTCTGACCTACAATCACTATATGGAATCAATCCTGGCAGCTGAAAATAGGAATTGATTGGAACAAGTACACAAGTGATTAGTACATATCTGCTTTGAAACTTCCTGGCTTGAGTCTTGTCAGCTACAGTAGGGTCCTCTTTTTAAAGCCTTAATTCACGTCAGCAGCTTTTTTTTTGGGGGGGGGGGCGGGATATTGTCATTGTTCTTTACTGTAAGTGTAGCTAGTTGCTGACTCATATCTCAGGTTTTTCTGTGTTCAACAAGTGGATAGTCCTTCGACAAGGATGCGACTTCATGTTTCCCGTGATGACTGCTGAAACCAGCACAGGATGAGTGACGTGATTCAGAATGGATTTGCTCATGCTGATTCCAAGCATCGCGTAACATAACTGGTTGTACACCAGTAATGTGCTGCGATCCAGGTGTGAGGTGAAGGCAGGAAGAAAGTACACCGCTTAGGGAGCTCGGTGTTACTCTATTGAAAAAGTGGTGTTAGAATGATCTGAGTTAGTTTTTCTACATAAGTTTAAATTTGGGATGTAATCAGACTTTCACAAGTTTTCACAGTAATTTTTTGATGTGTTATGCAGACACCAGATGTGAAGAGCTCACATCTTCCAGGGGCTGGTCACAACAATGTAATATTTTTAAGAAATGAAGGCAATAGCTCCAGTGAGGGTTGGGGGACATCCAGTATTCGGGATTTCTCCCGGCCATGGTTCCTTCCTTCCTGTGACCGTGAGGTAGTCCTGCACGACCGCCTTGGTCTCTGATTGCCAACATCACATCATCAGTTCTTGGGATCGAGATGGCTGTGGCTGGGCGGCAAGTGCTGGCACTGCTGGGGTGGGGCGGCTGGCTCCCTTCAGTTCCGAGTCCTAGGGGAAGCCCTGGAGTCTACCAGGAGGATACAGAACAGTGATTTCTAAAGAGCAAGACTAGATTTCTATGTGAGAAATGCTGGACAACGATTTAGGACATTTGTAAAGTGAGGTGGGCAGACTGTATAAATGTTTAATACGAATATAGCATTCTTTTGGAGTAAGATGCTGTTGAATGGTTAAATCGTGCATTTCTCATTTTGATGTTCTTGTATGTTAATATGAAATAAAATCAAAACTGGTACCTGTTTATACATAAATATGAGAAAGGACCTCTCCTTGCAACTATAAACTTGGGAGAGCAGCATCCGAGTTGTAGGAGGTGGCGGTGGTGGAACGGGTCCTGCTGTCCTCACATCACAGAGGACTTAGCCCAGAGTAAGGTGCTGAGGGCAGCAGATACAGTGTGTGCTCCATCATTCACACGAAACACCGGATCCTTAGCTAGCAGGTCAGTGCGGGCCTTCGTGCTTAAGTGCGTCTACCAAATGCACACTACAGTGCAGAACCTGGGCACGTACGTGGGACTACTCGCTGACTGACCGAATGGAGAATAAGTGCAGGGTAGGAAGGAGGAAGACCAGAGGCACATTCATGGTGCATCATAATGGAATATGTAAATGGCTTCAGAATTCTTACAGGAAAAGTGGGGTGGGCAGTCCTTAAAGATCTGTTCTCGTCCCTGCCACATACATCTTGATGACCTCTCTGCTTCTAAATGACACTGCACGGGACAACTTAGGAGACTAGTAGCTTAGTCTCATCAAAGAATTTTATGCATCAGGAATAAAGTATTTACCTCCATAAATAAATATGCTTCATAATAAAGCATATTACCTTGGAATGACGAGAGAGTCTTTGGGGGTATCATTTAAATCGGTTGGCACAGGCTTCTGAGTAGAAGTTAAATTTTAAAAAATTTAAAGGCAAGAAGGATTGTACTGGGCGGGCAAAGACTAGAGGAGCTGCCTTGGCCAGGATTTTGCAAAGAACGGGAGGCGCGCATGAGATGGAAGTTTAAAGGGGGTGTCGAATCTTCCAGCTTCCAGAGATGGATGGGGTGGTGTGTGGGAGCAGGTGTGTCAGGGAGAGGCTTCAGATGAGAGGGTGCAGATCTTGGGAAGCCCCGAAGGTCATGCCAGTTATGATTTAAGTGCACAGATTTGGGGGTCTCTTAGCAGTCGGAGGAGGCTAGTGTCAGAGGACTAGTTTGGGTCTGACAAGGAAAATTAGCACAGGGCTCAGGGTAAGGGGAGGTGAGGAAGGCAGACAGGAGCGGAAGGGTGGCTGTGCTGCGATTAGGGGCCTGGAACTTTTTGCCCTCAAAGCCTTCGCTGTCATTTTAAATACTGTCTGGTTATGCTTTCTGACACCACGCAGAGATGTTTTAGATCTAGTAAAACTTGTCTAGGTGCTGTTCTCTGAACTTACTCTCCTGTGTCTATAAACGGAAGAGGGAAGTGAGTTATTTCTAGCATTCCGTGGGGCCCATTCATCCTCGGACCGCATAATTATCCTCGGTTAGATCTTTAAGGTAATTGCAAAAGCAACTGGGAAATTACATCACTGTCTTGGCAGATGTTTACAAGTCAATCCTATTGCTGCGGTGTCTGTGCCCCGGCGTCCAGTCAGGTTTATGTAAAACCCAGTTCCAACCCTTTAGCTCCAGCTGGGCCCCCAGGAACTACAGACTGTGACCTCGCAGGAGCGTGTGGCCGGCACACAGGGCCCTGCTTGCGGAGGGCGAGCCCGGCTATGCCCTGGGCGCTCTGTGCTCAAGGGAGTCGCGATGGTTTCAAAGGCTCAAGTTCAAGTGCTTGGTGCACCAACGCTTTGAGTGTGAATCCCGCTCACTGTGTAATAAAAACCAAGGCGAGTGGTAGGACTCTGCCTTGGCTGGTGAAGAAGATGAAGTCTGAATCCCATCAGGTCTCACATGGACACCGATAACCCAGCACAACGCTCCTCAGAGTAGGGGACGCCCAGGGGCATGCCCCGGGGTGCTGGTTGGACTAGTAAGCAACTAGGTCTAGTTGCCACAGGTTTCGAGGTTTGGTTTGAGGCGGGTGAGTGATGAAGTTACCTGGTCCCCCTCCCCTCTGTAGCGGGTCATTTGAAAGGGAGCCACATGCCTGTGCGTGTGCAAGAAAGTCGGTGTTCCTCACTGTGAACGTGTGAACAGCGATGACCTCTCCTAGGGGCCACAGTAAGCTCCTAACAGAGGGCCGAGTGGGCAGGGGAGAGAGAAGCCAATTATTTCTCTTGGCATTAAAAACGTTTTACACCCCCAACATCCCCCAAGGAGAAAAACTGTCACTTCAAAACACCTTTCAATCTTTCGTATTGATACTTAAAAGTTGTTTCCTACTGAGTACTGTGTATCTGGGCTTAGCTGGGTATGAGCGAGTTGGGAAGACATTTCGCTCACCCTGGAGTGCTCACACATGCTCGCGCACAGCTCTCATTTCTGAAGATCGCTGGTGTTGCCTTGGGACTTGCTGAGGGAAATGCCCAGGCTGGGTAAGTTCTACAAATGCACGGAAGCAGGCGCGCATGTCAGTTCCCGAGGGCTGTTGCTTTATGGAACCTTGGGAACGGCATGTTCGCAATACCCAGCGTGTACCTTTCTCATAGGTCAGTGGGAAAAGCACAGAAATGCCTAGAGGAGATTTTAACAAACCAAAAGCCCCAGCGTGTTCCTGGAGTGCTCTCCTGTGTCTCAGGGTGTGGAGTCCTCAACATTCCAATTACTGACTGTGCAGAGGACACAGATGACGTTCCTAAGAATGACAGAACTTGAAGGGAAACAAAGACATGGCATCTGTCAGATTATACAGGCTCTCGGAAACCTACGCTCTCGCTCTCAAGCCCACAATTCATCCCCTGTAAACTTAGCTGCGCACAGGCCGTGGGGTGACGGCAAGCTTCTACCAGCTTCCACGTCAACGGGTCCAACAGGTCACTGCAGTTTCCGGGCCGGTTTGACGGTGCTCCTCAATACAGGTGCGCAGACCGCCGGCTTGGCAGAACAGGTTCTCAGACGAAGGGAGCCACCGGATACTTTCTAATTTCTAACTAACAAAAAGAAGGAAACAAGCTCTTCGTTGGGAGCTCAGAATTTAAAGTCACGTCTGAAACGCAGGGCCACTGCTCAGAGGATCAGGCCACAGAAGGGGTATCCTAGAGCTGGAAGGGGCCTGAGCGCCCATCCCGACCAGCTCTGGCCACAGGGAGGTGGAACGGGGCTCGGGAGCGAAGATCAAGGCGGAAATCTACAGCCAGGGCCCCCTGCAGCCAAGGCCCCGATCCCGGAGCAGCCTAGAGGGCCCCGCAGGCCCCGGCCTCCAGCAACAGCGCTCAGCAGAGCGAGCTCTTCAAAGAGCAAACCACTCGGATTCCAGAATCCGTCAGAACGTGGGAAGTCCTGAGGCGGGGAAAGGACTGGTAGCCGGTCCTTACGAGGCAGGGCTCCGTCAGGGAGGCAGCAGGTAGGAAGGTACCAAGTCAGGGAGGGGCTTGTTGGAAGGCCGACCTGAAGCCCTTCATTCCGGGCACGGGATGGAGCCCGCCGGGAGGCGTCCAGGTGGCCCGTGGCCCGGCAGGTGGCTGGGGGAGGTGGGAGTGCAGTTGGCGGAGCCTCGCCTCCTGCCACGGACGCCCTAAAGGACAGGCGAGGTTCTCACCTGGCCAGTGACTTGGAAGACCTGCGGGCAGAGCCCCGGGGGAGCGGGAAGCAGAGCACCTGCGCGCGCCCTCCCAAGGTGCACCAGGCCCGCAGACCTGCCACCTTGGCCGGGAAGCGCGGCTGCTGCTTTCCATTTGCAAATCCCCCGCGAATGTCTCGTGGCACCCTAACCAGAGGCACACAGGAAAGGGGGGCTGGCAACAAGCCCCGCCTAGCCCAGTTGACAACACTGCCAACCACCCCACGCCGTAAGCTCGCTAGAACTCTTTAAGACAAGTGGCGAGCGTGCCTGTTGTTCTCCGCTTCTACTCAGCAGCAGGAGTCTAGCTATTGAGGACTCTAAACAGAAGTCATCATACTGTCTGACTTGGTTTTATTTTATTTATTTTAAAGATTTATTTATCCACGATAGAGAGCGAGAGAGACAGGAGAGACACAGGAGGAGGGAGAAGCAGGCTCCATGCCGGGAGCCCGACGTGGGACTCATCCAGAGTTTCCAGGATCACACCCCCAGGCCAAAGGCAGGCGCCAAACCGCTGAGCTGAGGATCCCCTCTAACTTGGTTTCAAACTCTTTTTTTCAGTAAGCTCTACACCCAGCACGGCCGAGCTCACGACGTGAGCTCAAGAGCCACTTGCTGCACCGACTGGGCCAGCCCGGCGCCCCAACCGACTTCTTTAGAAGAGTTGGCTGGGGGGTTGGGGGCGAGCTGAGGGCGTTTTTCGTGCTGCGGAAGGTGAGCCCTTGGGGGCTCCCACCAGGAGCTGCTGGAACCGTGAGCAAGCCCCTCTCTAGGCCCGGTCGGGTCGCAGCTCATCTTCATTCTCTGCTCTTACTTGTAAATTCTATTAAGTGCAGTGACGGTAACAGCGCCTGATGCCCTCGTTCTCCGAAGGCTGCAAGCACGGCCCTGTTAAGAGCTGGGACCTGAAACTCCAGGAACTCAGAGACAACGATGGCGACAGCTTAAAAAAGCCACTTCCTGTCAGTCTTGGCAACTGGAATAGAAATATTCCTTGTATTCTTCTTTCATAACACAATTTCTGCCGGTTTGAAATTTAAAAAAAAAAAAAGGAAAAAACTACTGAGCACAGGTGGCACCTAGTCTACTACATCCAATATTAAAATGTATTATGAGGGGCGCCTGGGTGGCTCAGCAGCTGAGCGTCTGCCTTCCGCTCAGGGCATGATCCCAGGGTCCTGGGATCAAGTCCCACGTCAGCTCCCCACAGGGAGCCTGCTTCTCCCTCTGCCTGTGTCTTGGCCTCTCTCTCTGTCTCTCATGAATAAATAAGATCTTAAAAAAAATAAATGTATTATGAAATTAAACCATTATGGAAAAATGAACTGCATGAAACGGCAGTGAAAAAGCTTAGTGGATGAGAATATAGTTCAGAACTGGCTCCTCAATCATATGGAAACGATGTGGTGCTGCTTGTCAGCAGAGGGAAGGCACAGTACTCAATAAAGGCTGCCACCTCTGTGGCATTTCCTACAATCACCTTAGCTATTCATAGGTTTCTAAGAAACAAAACATTTTTTCTTGATTTGTATGTTCTAATAAATCGCTCTAGAAATGGTTTAAGACCCCATAAAATCCTGACCATCAAAAGCCATTATAAACACAAACTTCTTTCACCAGTGTGGCCCAACCAAGGTTGACGGTATTGGTTTGGTCCCTCACTCCCCAGCTCATGGCTTCCGAGTCAGGCCACTTTCTATCCTCAGGCTGGGTGCCCCTGGCCCCGCTTCCTAATGGGGACAGAAAGGTGGAAACGAGATCTGAAGGTCACCCTCTGAAAGAGGTGGATGCCACCTCGGTCTCTTGCCTTGGCTCTGGTGCCATCTTGTCTTTCCAGCTCGGAGAGATGAACAATCCTGGTATTTTCTTGGTTGTTTTTTTGAAAAAAAAAAAAAAAAATCTTGGAAGCTGTTTTTTTTCCCCTGTCAGAACTTTTTTTTTCCATTTAGCTTAGAATTGTTTCTTCTATCATCCAGTTATTTTATGACCTACATTTTATCCTGGGTTCTATGAATCTTACAAAATAATATCTGATTAAAATCTGAGATTAGGATCAAATTTATTGGAGGTAGGCTAAAGTAAGCAGGATCAATTTTAATGTTATCAATATCCCAAAGGCTCTCTTCAACATCTAGAAAACACCTTCTGAAGTTTGCAGGATTTTTTTTTTTTAAATTTTTATTTATTTTATGATAGTCACAGAGAGAGAGAGAGAGAGGCAGAGACACAGGCAGAGGGAGAAGCAGGCTCCATGCACTGGGAGCCCGACATGGGTTTCGATCCGGGGTCTCCAGAATCGCGGCCTGGGCCAAAGGCAGGCGCCAAACCGCTGCGCCACCCAGGGACCCAAGTTTGCAGGATTTAATAAAGGGAGCGGGGTGAGTCCTGGCAGGATATCCTGGCCCCAGAGGCTTCCCCATGCCCCCAATCTGCCCATCTCCATCTCTTCCTACCTTTTCTTTCTTCGCGTCTTCAGCCTCTTCTGTGAGGACAGTTAGGATGGCCAAGGCCTGCACTAAGTACTCTTGTGGTTTCTCAGGTGGCTTCCTTTCCTAAACTCCCACAGAAATTTAGCAGCTTGTAAGTTTTTTACTCTTCAGAAAAGAAGGGTCTGTATTCGGGGCACCATGTCAGACACATCGAGTGGGCTCAGGAAATGCCCACTGCAGACGTTTCCAAAGCTGACCATGTCACAGGTTCACCAGGCAAGTGAAACAAATGTGGATTAAAACCTTGTTAGGGGGGAAGCCCAGGGCGTGGTCCTGGAGACCCAGGATCGAGTCCCACGTCAGGCTCCCTGCATGGAGCCTGCTTCTCCCTCTGCCTGTGTCTCTGCCTCTCTATGTGTGTCTCTCATGAATAAATAAATAAAATATTAAAAAAAAAGAATGAACCTTAAAAAAACTTTGTTAGGGGAATTGGGAGTCTTGCCAGTGCTGATGTAATAAAAAGAAACTTAACCACATCTGCATTAAAGGAACCAGTTAGCGGTGGGAGATGAGCCTGGTGAGGGTGTTCAAAGGAAGTCCTCAGTCTCCACTGATGACACACGAGGGACACCATAACCCAGCACACAACAAAAACACCAGTGTTCTGCCTCGGCAGGAACAGGGTGCCCCAGATAAAGACCTGGTGTGACGTCAACAGGGTAGGAACAGTAACAACACCGAAACTTGGATTAAATTAGTTCTTTATGTTTACAAATCATATCCCGGAAAGCCTACTGAGTAGGATTTCACGAAGGCATTGAGGACACAGAGCTTCTTAAAATATTTCTTCCCTTCTCTCCATATTTTTACTCCGCAAGCTAGACTTGACAATTCATTCTCAGTTAAAAAAAAAAAAATCTAAACAAAATAAAAATTCCTGACATGGAGTTCTGTAACAAATTGCTAACAATTCAAGTGCTCTAATTTCGGTTAGCACCGAGAATTAGTTTGGTTCTAGTTTGGTTCGTTTTGCAAAGGGAAGGATGCGTCAAGGAAAGGGGCAGGAAGGGCAGCATCAGATTTTCAGGCCAGCTGGACTGTTTCACCTCCCTTCAGGGAGCACCAAAGCCTCCCACCAGCTTCAAGATCCAGTCACTTCCCGTGACTTTGGTTCCCAACGTCCTCAGGGTACTGGTGGTGCGGGGCTCTGTCCCCACAGAACAGCCGCCTGGCTGGACAGGAGAGGCGGCACTTACAGCTTGAGCTCTCGGTCTGGCTTCATGCTAAAGGGCTCCAGCCTCTCCCCCTCGGGCAGCATGCTGTTGAGCCGCTCCATCAGGGGCACGGTCTGGTCAATGCCCATCTGGATGCGGCGGAGGATGGCGGACATCTCGTTGACTTTCTGGATCTGCTCCGCATATTTGGCGTATCGTTTCTGGCGCTCTTGCATGAAGCTAAAGAGAGTTTCTACAGACAAATCCATCTGTAGAGGGAGAAGAGAAGGGAAACACATTAAACCTGGTTGAACCAAGTCCTCTCAAGAGGACAGGTGTGCAGCATGAGCCCCATAAGGCCAAGTGGAAGCTGCCCGCTTACAGGAAGTGCTGGTGGATTCAAAAAAGACCCTCATGAGCACAGCGTTATCAACTGCTGCCCCACGATCATCATTGGAGGAGGACTGAGACATGGCTATTTCTGGCTCTGTTTTGGGCATGTGAGCCACTTATACCTTGCTGAGACCCTCAGATTGTTCACTCCCTACATAAAGAATCCTGGGCTTGGAAATGTGACCAGGGTTTGAAATGTGGCTCTGCCACCTGAGTTGATAATACTTATCCTTTCTGTCTCAGGGTCCACGTGTGCAAAAACCACAAATCTGGGGGCTCAGTTGGTTAAGTGTCTGCCTTTGGCTCAGGTCATGATCTCGGGGTCCTGGGATCAAGTCCCACATTGGGCTCCCTGCTCAGCGGGGAGTCTGCTTCACCCTCTCCCTCTGGCTGCTGCTCCTCCCTGCTTGTGTGTACACTCTCAAATAAATAATATAAAACCTTAAAAAGCAAACAAATAGGGAATGGATTCCCAAACTATAGGGCTGCTGTGAGGATGGAATGAGACAACACATCTAGTGCAGGAGCTGGCATGGCTCCGAGGTGCTCCACAACATGTGTCATCCTTTCCTCTCTTCCTTGAACGGCCGCGGGGTGGCAGCCACTGGGGGAGAACTGCAGGGGACAGGGTGGCTTTCTCTGACAACCAAGGCTCACATGCATATGGTGGACCATACTGCTGTGAGGCAAACTCTCACAGAGACGGTGCTGTGGGGCACTCTCTCTCCCGGTTAAACAAACTTAGGCTCTGCACTCCCATTTTGTGACTATTTCCTTCCCCTGGTGAAATTCTTTGGAAGCTGTCACCTGGATAAAAATAGGGGGAGGGCACCTCCAGCCTGTCAGGTGCCTTTACGCCCTCCTTGTAGGGAAGCCACAAGCTGCTAAGATTCCCAATTTCTACCCTGAAACTTAGTTCAGATGCTGCTTCAGCCCCTCGTTCTTGCCTACTCCAGGGACATGTCCCTTGCCCACCCCCAGCCTCATGCAAAGGGCTGGCACCTGATGCATGTTACCAGAGCCTACAGAAATGGTGTGAGGAAAACCAAACCATGGGGTGCCTGGGTGGCTCAGTCAGTTAAGCATCCAGTCTTGGCTTTGGGTCAGATCATGATCGCAGGGTCGTGAGATCGAGCCCTGAGTTGGGCTCTGTGCTGGGTGTGGAGCCTGCTAGAGATTCTCTCTCCTCTCGCTCTGCCCCTCCCCTTCCTCTAAAAAACAAAACAAAACAAAAAAGAACCAAACCAAACCAACATGAGGAAGCCAAAGCCAGTCCCAAGAAAAAAATAACCAGTTCTATTTTTATACTGTGTTTGTTGGGGGGGGGAGGTTGCCGTGGAGAGGTGGATGGTAAGGGAGGTGTTAGAAGAACTCAATGTGGTTTTTTTCTATGTTGGTTCTTTCCTCACTTGTTTTGAAATGCTCAGGGGACAAAAAAAAAAACAGCAAGTGGGAGATGTGGGAGGGAGGGAAACAACCACCTCCCAATACCGTGGAAACAATTTCTACCTTCAGATGGTTCTCTGCAGCCCTGTTCAGCACTTTGAAGGCTAAGAGTGTTCCTAAGAGTCAACCACCGGGCCTTTTCAGGATGGTAATTCAATCCAGCACCTAGAAACACTTCACCTTCCAAAAGACAGTAGATGACGTGGGAGCTCTTCCTAAGAACCAGCAGAACTCACTGACTGCCTGCTCCAGCATTTGGAACCATCTTGAGTCACATCTCACTTGGTGGGGGCGTCGTCGTTCTCCCCACACCCAACTCTACTAGACTAGACAAACACCTGTGAAGTTTATCTGAAATGGCCTCCAAGACTCTAACTTATTATGTCTTAGGCCCTCAGCAATCAACCACTTCCACCCCCCCCCCCGATTTATAGTAGATCAGACAGTGGCATTTGTTCAAATGACCTACACTTGCCCACAGAAATCCACATCCGACTGGGGCCCATGTTTGATGTATTCAGAGCTTTTGTCCAAAGCCATGTCATGCTTAGTGCCTAGGTGGCCACACATAATTCAAGCATGCTGTTCATACACGCTGACAGTTAAGTATGTCTCTCAAGAGTCAATTCCATGACAGTCCATGGAGGAAAAAAACCACAGAAGAGGAAACCTGAAGCAGAGTGACCTGCTAGGTCTCACAGTGACAGAACCAAAACCTGAACCCAGACCTCCTCAGTCAAGCATCTTCCTTTCATCAGTATTCCCTAAGCAAGAGAGTGTACCAATAGTTAGGCATGAGATATTACTTGATGCATGGCATGACATCAAAGAACATTGAATCATGTGATGGAAACATTAATGTCTTTCAAATCCTTCCTCCTCCTTTCTGACTGCTGCAAGGAAAGCGTCACATTGGTGCAAGTAAGACTTCAGTTGGGAGAGTGTAATAAAACTGGTGATGCCTCTTTCTCATGTCCCTGCCCTTTACTCCCCACCCCCCGTTTTTTTTTTAAGATTTCATTTATTTTATTCATGAGACGCACAGAGACATAGGCAGAGGGAGAAGCAGAACTCGATCCCAGGACCCCAGGATCACAACCTGAGCCAAAGGCAGATGCTCAACCAGGTACCCCAGAGCCCTTCTTTCTTTCTTGAGGCAACACTGCTGCTGATCCCTAAAGCCTACCTTTGTGTGTACCCATGTGCCTTTGTGTGAAGCCATGTGTGTAGACTTACTCCAGCACATCTGAACAGACTTTAAGGCAGTAAGTCAGTATCTAATGCAATTCTGAATCTACCATTTTGACAATCTGGAATATATCCTTATTCACCTTTCCTGGTTCTATTTTTGGCACAAAGATTCTAATAAGGAAACATATATATAATATAGATAGTCAACAGACATATATTAAGTGCTACTATGTGCCATATCATATGCAAGGTCCTGAGGGCATAGATATTGAGAACCACACTATTTGTACTCCACACAGCTTATTGTTTATGTTGAAATGACTTTTGTTTTCCACTGTCTTTGTTAACATAGCTTTGCAATTCCAGAAAACTCAGGTCCAGAAAGGGAAATGTTGCAAAGAGCTTTGTTTCAGGGACTTTCAGAGAACCATTTAAGTGAAAAAACTATTAGATTTTTTCCAATAGAAAATGACTATTTTCCACAACTCTTGCCTCAAAACCCACACCTTGCTCTGACCACATGACTCGGTTCTACTCAGTGGTACGCATATGTGGAAGTCTCTCATGGCAGCTTCTGGGTATCTTCCTGAAGACTCAGCTGGCACACACTCTCTGCTCCTTCTTCATCCCTTCCCTCTCTCTGATCCTGCTGGAATGCAGACACAGCCCTCTTAGACCACAGGAATAAGTAAGGTCACATCCTAGGGCTGGTAGAGAAGTGAGCTAGAAGTAGTCTAGGTCTTTGAGGACTTCTGTGGATGAGAGTAGTACCATGCCTGGGAGAGAAGAAGAAATTTCCATTCTGTATATGCCGCTGTGATTTTGGCATTACATTAGCTGAATACCGAGAGAAATGAATGACCCCAAATGTTACCCTACACAGGCATTTACTGTCTCTGATGTTGGTACATCTCAAAGGACAAGCGAAAAAGAAGGTGAAATTATTTGTGGGTGTAACTGTAGGCTTTATTAAGATATTAGTTATCTATAGAATGTGCTCAAACTTGTTTGAAATACCTTAATTGGATAGTATAGCCTATTTGCCCATCTGGGCAGTCCACTGCCAAAAAACAGATCTAAAATATTAGCAAATCAAACCCAGCAATATATAAAAAGGAAAATACATCATAACCAAGTAAGGATGCAAGCTTTTTCAGCATCTGAAAAAAAAATAATTTGCCATTTCAACAGAGTAAGGGTTAGAAGTTATGTAATCATCTCAGTAGATGCAGAAAAACATTTGACAAATTATGAAAAATTTTGAAAACTTGGAACAGAAGGAAACTTCCTCAACCTGATAAAGGGCACTTATGAAAAACCTACAGCTAACATCACAGTAGTAAAAGATACTTCTCTAATAAGGAATAAGGCAAGGATATCCACTCTCATCACTTCTACTCAACACTATCCTAGAAATCTTAGTGCAATAAATCAATAAAAGGCACAGGAACTAGAGAGGAATACATAAAAGGGTCTTCATCTGTAGATGACAGGACAGTGTACTTAGAAAAATCACCAAAAACTAATAAAACTAACAAATGAGTTTATCTGTAAGGTTTCAAGATACATGGCTAATATATAAAAATCAATTATATTTCTATATACTTGCAACAAACAACTGGACAATAAAATTTAAGAATACTTACAATTGCATCCAACAATTACTTAGGGAAAAATTCAACAAAATATCCATAAGACGTGTACACTGATAATACAAAACTCTTCTGTGAAAAATTAAAGGTAATCTCAAAAAATGGGTAAGTATATCATGTTTGTGGAATGCAAGATTCAATATTATTAAGATGTCATTCTTGCCAAATTGATCTTTAGAGTCAACTGCAACCTGAATCAAAATTCTAGAAGAAATTTTTTGCAGGAATTTGATAAGCTGATCCCAAGTACACAAAATGACCAAAAGAATTTTGGGAAACAAAACAAAATAAAACAAACAAAAAACTCCCAAAGTTTGAAGACTTGCAGTACTTGATTTCAAGACAGTATAAAGCATAATAATCAGAACAGTGTGATATTAGCATAGAAACAGACCTATACATCAATGAAACTGAACAGAGAGTACAGAAATAGATTTAAGCATAATATAGTTAATTGATTTTTTTTTACAATATTTCCAAGGCAATTCAGTGGGGAAAATAAAGTTTTTCAATAATTTGTGTTAGAAGAACTAGATATCCATGTGGGAAAAAAATAAATCTGGACCCCTACGCTTTACCTCATATACAAAAATTAACATGAAATGGATCACAGACCTAAACATAATAGCTAAAACTATAAAACTTCTAAAAAGAAAACAGGAGAAAAACCTTTGCTATCTTGGGGTAGGCAAAGATTTCTTGGATAGGTCCAGAGAACATATAATCATAAAAGAAAAAAGGGGTTAAATTGATCTTCATCAAAATTTAAAAACATTTTTTTAGAAAGACATCACTAAGAAAAAACACAAGCCAGAGACTACAAGAAAATATTTATAATATATATATCTGATAATAGACATATCTAGAATATGTAAAGAACTCTTACAACCCAGTATTGAGGAAAAACTCCAGGGACACTTGGATGGCTCAGTCATTTGAGTGTCCGACTAGTGATTTTGGCTCAGGTAATGATCTCAGGGTCATGAGATCGAGCCCAGTGTTGAGCCCTGCATTGGGCTCTACATTCAGCAGGGAGTCTTTCTCCCTCCGCCCCTCCCCCTGCTCATGTACATACTCTCCCTCTCTCAAACAATAAATAAATAAATCTTTGAAAAAAAAAATCCAAATTTGGGATCCTTTGAAGAGTATTGCTCAGGGGCTTTTGTCTCACTAAAGCACTAACTGAATTTCTAAGTAAAAGAAATCAGCTTTTAAGATCTTTAAAAGGAGAATTAAGTCCAGGAAAGTAAGCCTCCAACTGATCAGTTGAACATCAACTGAGTTTATTAAAAAGAAAGGTAGGGGGAGAGGGAGCTGGTGAAGAACCCTCCAGGAGATCATCTGGAAATGGAATCTGACCCTCTTGGGACAAAGAATTCAAAGAGCGTACGAGTAAAACTTTTCTGAAGATTGCACCTATGGGCACTATTAAGTAAACTGGACTACAGATCAGGAAAAAAAAAAAAGGCACCTAGCTGACTCAGTTGGTCAAGCATGTGACTCTTAATCTCAGGGTTATGAGTTCAAGTCCCACACTGAGTCCAGAGATTACTTAAAATCTTAAGAAAAAAAAAAAAGGAAAGAAAAAAAAGAGTAGCTAGGTGTTAAGTAACAGCTGTCTCAATAGAACTCCCTTCCTGAAGCTCTGACATAGTGTGGTAGGAAAATAATTCTAGTCAGTTCTCAAATCACTTTGGAGGCTTCTAGCTCATAATCATATTAACCTAAATCTTCATCCCTTGTCTTTAGATAGTTACTGCTGCCAAATGAGAAGTGGCTATTATGATGTTGCACACTGAACCTTGGGGAGACTTATTTTATGGAAACTCCCATCTTGAATGAGGTGGAATGGCAGAAAAGGACTCCATTACTTTTAGACCCATCAGCTTAAATTCTCAATAGTTCACTTCCCAAAGGTTTAGCCAGAGCTTTTACCTCAGGTGTGAACTGTTCAGACCCTCCAAATGATGTGTAGACATCTGAAGGCATTCCTAAGCTCAAAGTGAGAGTCACTCTGAGAGGAGCAGGCTTCTATGGAAGCAATACAACAAACAAAAAATTAACATGAGGCTGGGTAATCGTTCTAGATTTACAATCAACTATATATACCTTGCAGAGGAAGGCAGTAGTGTCAGAACTGGGTTAAAATTTTGATTCTGCATAGGACTGATTATCTTCTTCTTTTTTTTTTTTTAAAGTAACCTCCATGCTCAATGTGGGGCCTGAATTCATGACCCCGAGGAGCAAGGGTCACAGGCTCTACTGACTAAGCCAGTCAGGCACCCCTACCTTTGTGAATTTGAACCAGTCACTTACCCTCTTTCGAGCCTCAGCTTCTTCACCCTTAAATTAGGCATAATGACAGTACCAATTTCAGAAGGCTGATGTGAGGAGTAACGAGATAACATGTACAGAAGGCCTATAATAGCCCCTAGAAAAACAGAGCGCCATAAATTATAACATATATGTGAACTGAAATAGAAACTAGGTCTTAAAACTCCTTTTACATGACGAATGGAAAAACAAGGTAAGAAATTCAGTAAAGTGCAGGGGAAAAAAATGACATTTTGAGGCATTCAAATTAACACAATGTATCTTTGTTGTAAAGGCAGGAGAGCTTATTGTTATGTCTCATCTCTATTACATTAACTATCTCCAAGGCTTACACAATCACTCAGATGACAATTTACCATTGTGTTTTTTGCTGACATGTTTTTTGTTTTAAACTTCTGCTACTGAAAAATCTTACACGGAGCCACATTACTCATCTCGTAGTTTCCTGACACAAACATTTCACACCACATAATAACTAAAATCATTATTCACCTACAAGTCTTTCCATGTGTTTTTGATTTATATGTTCAGCCATGAGAATGAGTAACTCCTACCAATGTCTGTGATAAAATAAAATGATAAAAATATAGGTATATATGCATGTATATATATTTTTTCAAAAAATATTTTGAAAGCAAGCAGAAGAGCTTTAATAAATGCTATCTTCTCCAACAGGAGTCCATTCCTTCAAAAAAATTTTGTTACATAAAATTTCCTGATAGGGGTGCCCTTGGCTGGCTCAGTTGGTAGACTGTGCAACTCTTGATCTTGGGTTGTAGGTTCAAGCCTCACAATGGGTATAGAGAATGCTTAAAAATGAAATCTTTAAAAAATTTTTTTCTGATAAAATAAGCTTTGATGCTGGGTTGGCACAAGGTGGGTCATCCTATGTAAGATATCTAAATGCTTGATGTAATTTCCTTTTCAAAGTAATGATAATCTTTTCAAAGTAGTGGCACATACTACAAAGGCCTATAGTTTTAAGTTTGATGTATAATACAGTAAGAGCTTCACAAAGATACGGTACATCTTCTAAATTCTAAAATCTTAATTGTAGATATGTACAAGATGGTCAAAAGCAGTTTACTTATTCACAGGTCAAAAGAAAAATGAATGGGTAAATTGTGTACCACAGTTAACAAAACTCAAGTTTATATGATCAATAGACTCTTGCTTTTCCTATGTTTTAGTGAGAAGTTTTTTAAAAAATGTTAAAAGAGACTGCTTAAGAACTCAATTAAAACTATATTTTAAAAAAAGTCATGCATCTTTCCCACCCTTTAAAAGTATTGTTTAGCTTTTAATGTGATAATGTCTCTCAGTTAACGTAAGTCTCAATGTCAATTTTTATTTGGTCTCAGTAAATAGTTCACTTTCTTTTAGAACTTATTCTACATTTAAGTTTCTGTTTCCCAAGGAGGTCAATTACAGAACATGGGGGTGGGAAGCAGAGGCCACACAGGGCTAAGGGCCGTCTTGGTCTCTTCCCACATTCCAAATCCAGCCCCAGCTTTGTTCTTCCTTTGGACAGACATCCGTCTTTGGAAATGCTTCAGTGTTTTACATAAAGCTTCACCCTCTTCCATATTCTAAAAGTCAGAACTACCAATTCCTCTAATTGGAGAGCATTCTCATAGCTGTATAAATTAGTACTGTCCCGAGGGCAAAATCTGCTGTTGCAAATTCGTTTCTCCAAAGAAGATATACAAATGGACAATAAGTACATGAAAAGATGTTCCCCATCATTAGTCATCAGGGAACTGGAAATCAAAACCATAAGGAGATACTACTTTACACTTACTAGGATGGCTAAAATAAAATGGCAGACAGTAGTGAGGACGTGGAGAAACGAAAATCCTTGTGCACTGCTAGCGGTCACAGAAAATGGTATAGTGCTTCAAAAACAGTTTGGCAGTTTCCCAAAAAGTTAAATTTAGAAGTACCATTTATTTTTTTTCTCTTTTTTTAAGATTTTATTTATTTATTCATGAGAGACACACACACGGGGGGGGGCGGTGCGGGACAGAGACACAGGCAGAGGGAGAAGCAGGCTCCATGCAGGGAGCCTGATGTGGGATTTGATCCCGGGACTCCAGGATCACACCCTGGGCTGAAGATAGGCTCCAAACCACTGAGTCACGTGGCGATCCCCTAGAAGTGCCATTTAATTCAGCAATTTTACTCCTAGGTATATGCCCAAGAGAACAAAAACATATGTTCATGCAAAAACTTGCACACAAATGTTCATGGCAATATTACTCATGATAGATAAAAAGCACAAACACCCCAAATGTCCATTAATGGATGCATGGATAAACAAAATGTATATCCCTACAATGGAATATTATTGAGCCATAAAAAGGGCACACAATACTGATCTGAGCTACAAATGCAATGAGCCTTGAAAACATCATGCTAAGTGAAAGAAGCTAGACACAAAAGGCCACATGTTATATGATTCCATGTAAATGAAATGCCTAGAACATGCAATCCATAAAGACAGAAAGTAGATTAGCAGTTGCCAAGAAATAGAGGTTTGGGGGTGACTGCTAACTTATATAGGGCTTCTTTTTAGGGTGATGGGAATATTCTGAAATTAGAAGGTGTTAGATGAACAACTTTGTGAGTATACTAAAAACCACTGAACGATATCACTATAAAAGGGTGAGAGGTACCTTTAAATCAAGTTCTCAGCAAACTCCCAGAACCTTCCTTGCTTGTTCTTAAACTGACCCCTTAATGGTCGCATTCTTAATCTTGCTCCTGACTGGAGGCACCTTCTTCTTTTTAAACATTTAAATAAAATTTAAATTCAAGTTTTTATTTAAACAAGTTAACATACAGTGTTGTATTAGTTTCAGGTGTACAATATAGTGATCAGCACTTACCTACAACACCTGGTGCTAATCTGGACAAGTGCACTCCTTAACTTCCATCATCTGATTAGTTCATCCTCCTCCCATGCCCCCTCTGGTAACCATCAGTTTGTTCTCTAGAGTTAAGAGTCTGTTTCTTGGTTTGCCTTTCTCTCCCCCACCCCTCAACTCATTTATCTTTTTTTTTAAATTCCACATGTGAATGAAATCATATGGTATTAGTCTTTCTCTGACTTATTTCACTTAGCTTAATACTCTAGCTCCATCTAAATGTTGTCACAAGTGGCAAGATTTCTTTTTTATGGCTCAGTAATATTCCATTATATATACATATACACACACCACATATTCTTTACCTATTCATCAGGTGATGGACACTTGGGTTCTTTCCATAATTTAATGGCTATTATTGATAATGCTGCTATAAACACAGGGGTGCATGGATCCCTCTGAATTAGAATTTTTATATTCTTTGGTAAATAACCTAGTAGTGCAATTGCTATATCATAGCATAATTCTATTTTTAACTTCTTGAGGAACCTCCATACTGTTTTTCAGAGTGGCTGCACCAGCTTGCATTCCTTCAACAGCAGAGGCACCTTCTTTCTTAAGATCTTTCATCTACTCTCAGAACCTGGTTCTTAGGGTTAGTTGCTCTAGCTTTCACACATCAGTTATCGTCTGAATTTGTCTTTGCCTCACATGTTTAGTAGTCTCCACTTCAGAGAGTTGAGTGCCCCTTGCCACCAGTTTGGCACGTTCTGACCAAGCCTCTATCTTCTATATCCCTACCGCATCTTTACTGCTTGATCTCCACTGGGGATTCACAGATTATGAAAGTTAGTGTGTGCTAGGCTGCGACAAAAACTTTTCTGGGTCTACTCCGTGTTTTCTTGAGTTTCTCACCCTCCTCCAGATCATCATTCCCACAGAGGATTTGAGACCTCCCTGAGGCAATCTTCTCTAGGATGCCTCTCTCTTGCACAATGGACACACAATGGAAAGATGTTTTCATTAATTATACCATGGGCTAAATGACACCAATTACCACAAATTGGACACTTTGAAGTAATCCTGTTTCCAAAGACAACAGTTTGCAACAGCTTATAAAAGTACACATTTGCCATTTATCTCACATATCATACCTTTGGTCTATAAATCAAGCAAGAACGGAAGTTCCTCTCTGGCAAATCTCAATCTACATGATCTATCAAAACCAAAACCTGAAATCCATGCTAGTGGGACTTTCTGTAATATATGTGCATATTAGGATGATTAGGTAGGCCAAATATTCAGTTATTCCCAGCTGTTTTAATTAATGTAATAAAGTAACGTTTTATTTGAAAAAATAAACTACTATTCCAACTATTATCCCTTGAGTATCTATTAAATGTTAGGCATTGTTCTATGTACCACACACACATCTTTGTTCCTCATAAAAGTTCTATAGGGAAAATGTTACTCTCTTACTAGAGATGTGGAACTGGAGACACAGAGATCACAAAATGTGCCTAGGGTCACAGAGCCAGTACTAGCAGTGAAGCCAGAATTCAAACCCATGCTTCTCTACCTAATCTTTCCCTATCTTTTCCACAGAGCTAATTAATTTGAATATCAATTCATTTCAGTTAAATACATACCATGCTGAACAATGTCTTCAATACTTTTTTTGAAATCCTTAATGGATGAACTGAAATAGTAATCGTGGATAGTTTTCAAGTGGTGTGAAAGAATACACTTTTGTTTCTACTTTAACTACCAAGATTTATTTATTTTTAATAACCAAAATAACAAGCTGCCAAATATAGCCTGGATATCTAC